ATTAATATGAACGCTGTTGCAAATTTAAGGAGCAGCAATTGTGATAATAATTATTATATATAATATATACAATATAATATTATATATAATATAATTATTATATAATTTTCTCATTGTTATTTATTATTCTAACATCTCTGTGAATTAGATTCCAATTTTTCTTTATTAAAGAAAATGATCGTCGTGTGCCTAATCTTTTATTCAATAATATTCATATAAGTAGACATTACAATGAGAAAAAAAAATTTTATTTTAACTAAATGCTTACATACTTATTTCGTACATGACGTAAAAATCAGAAGCGCTATAATGAGTCAGATTACATCATTGAATGATATATAATGAATTCCACACATAAATTATATAAAATTATATATAATATAATTTTCTCTCTCTTTCACAAATTATATTATGTCATAAATTTATATAATACAACCCCCCCACGGGTACACCTTGACGTGGTGGGGTGGCTCAGTACTTGGATGGTGCCTTGAGGTTTATTTTAAATTTTTTTATTTGGGATAAATCTCAAGATGCCTGAATGGGAAGCTAAGTACCCTTTCGCATCGTCGGTGCCGTCAACGTGTCGCGGACGGCAAGCGTTTCGTCAACGCGTCGCGTTTTCGCGTTGTAATATTCTCGCGTTTTCGCGTTTTCGCGGAACTTTTGGACTTTTTCATATAAAATCCCAATTTCATTTATTGTCACGAGTCTCCACTTCCGATGTCAATTAACTGGGATGTACGAGTTTGCACACGTTGCTTTGCGACGTACACTCTTGCTTCGTGCTTCGTCAAGTAATTCGGCCCGAATTAGTTAGAACTCGATCGATTGCTCGGAATGGTCTTCAATGAGTCCCTTCTCTTTGCTCGTCTACAGCCACACGCACTGCGTGTGTTAACCCTGTCGAGGAGTCGAGTGGATTCCCCTAGGCATGATTTTCGCTCGGTAAAAGGGGTTGCCTCCCCATTTTCTAAATTGCTAGTTGTAAGCATTTAAAAAATGTGGGTATCCTCTTCTTTTGCCGTCTACCAGCCTGGTGTAGCCATATCCTGCATTGCGGGAAACTTCGTGTTCCGGGCGAAGCACCTGAAATCATGCTTAGCGGGTCCAGGTTCGATACGAGATAGGATAATTATGCGCGAAAAAGAGTTGGTGAACTTCATTTTCCTCTATTTCCGTCAATCGTTTCGTCTTCTTTCCGGTTTGGGCTTAATTCTTGCTCGTTGTATCGTTGCATTTCCGACCTATTGACCTGAAGCGGATTCTCATAAGTGAAATGGGATTTTCGTTCGTACCGAAACCGGGAGTGCCGTTAAAGGTATATACATATTAAGTATATACATCGCGCGATCAAATATAAAATTTTTAATCGTATCGAAATAGTGCGGGAGTGCCGTGCAGTATCGCGCGTAAAATAACGAAAATAGCGATATAAAAATATCGCTCGTGAGTGCGGGAGTGCCGAAAAGTATCGCGCGTTTAAAACTGAGAGGAGGAGGAGGCCTAGGAGAGGCATCGGGCTCTGGCAGAGCAACCTTCTAGTAAATAATTTCTTTATTTGTAATTGTATATTAAATATTAAATATATTTATTATAATTTAAATTAAACAATTAATCGTGTAATTTGATTTTTTATTTATATGATTTAAATAAGAGAGAATTAAAGATAAAGATTTTTAAATAAAAGCTATAATCTTGTAAAAATATAAGCTTTTATAAAATTAGTGAAGATAGAGAATTATTAATAAATGTTCAGTTTTTTTTTATTTTATAGAATTATTTTATTAATTTGATTATTATTATACATATCATATATATATATATATATATATATATATATGTATATATATATTATATATATTATATCGAATATAATTCAATGCATACAATAATAATTTTTTGAAATATTAATTATTTTAAACTCCGCTACAATTTGAATTTTCTCTTTATATGTTATAGATCGACGAAGCAAACTTGACGATCTGAGAGGAGGAGCAGGCCTAGGAGAGGCATCCTGCACCAGCGGAACAACCTGATGGTATTATTATTGTATATTACTTATTATAAATTGCATTAGTTTGCTTCACTTATTCAAATGATTTAAACAAGAGAGATTGAAAGAAAAAGATTTTATATAAATCCTATAAAAAAAGTTTCTATTTAAAAAATAGTTTTTTTATAATTTATAAAATTATTCCATATTTATATACTTGTTTATTATTGCTCGTATCGAATATAAAATTCGTTGCGTACAATAATAATTGAATATAATAATAAATAAATATATATATATATATATATATAATAAAATATTAATCATTTTAAACAATGCTAATTTGAATTTTATGTTTGTATGTCATAGACAACGTAGCTTCGAAATCGACTCCGCTGTTGCGCATCAGTGTCGGTGAGTCAAAAACTTTTATTTACTTTTAAGGTAACGAATTTGTGGAGTTTGTAGATGTAGATTGTAGATATAGATTGTAGATTATAGGTTCGTTACCTTAAAATAAATGGGCTACAACAAATTAAACAATTTACGTTTAATATATATATATATATATATATATATATATAAATATAAATATATATATATATATATATATATATATATATTTATATTAACTTTAATACGTATATTAACTTGAATAGTTCTTTTCAATATATAGTAATACAGCATTTTAAGAATGCAAATTTAAAATTAAATAAATATAGAAAAAAAATCTTTATTTTTTATCAATTCTTTATTACAGTCAATTATTTATTTTGTTTAATAAAGAACATGCTATTAACTTTATTAATATTTTATATAATAATTTGTTTCTTTATAACATGCTGATTTTGTTTTAATTTTTCGTAGTCCATCTATTTATGTAGTGTAGCATATCAGAAACTTTGCTTTAACTATTATAAATCTAAGTTATTGATTAAGTAAATCATATATAATATTTAAAAAAATTAATGAATAAGTAAGTAAATATAAAGAAAAAATACAATGAAAAATATAAAAATGTATGTTCAATTAATTTTATTTTATTATAAGTTTATTATAAATTTTGTTACAAATATTTTATATATATACGTATAACATAAAAATTTCAATCAATCAATTTTGATGACTTAATATTATATTAGTTAAAGCAAAGTTCTATTAAAATGACAATAATCGTTACATATTACGACTATAAATGAGCGTAAAATTATGCTCATGCGAAAATAAATAACTTGCAACGAAAGGAGTTGTTCTCCTTTATTGACCTTAGAGAGGTCTCTGAACTTTTTGGCTAAAAGTAGCCAAATTAAATACGATCGTGATCAGTGAAAGGTAGGTTTAACTGATCCAACGAATTATTTTAAATGAGATGAAGAAGATGACCAAAATATTGGTCAGAAGTAAATAAACGGAAAATACATATGAATTTCTACGTGCGATAGCACGCAATAAAATAAACGCGTAAAATAAACGGGTCCGACATAAAATACACATTAATTTAAAAAATAAATCAAGACGCGCAAAATAAATGGCGACAAAAAAGAAATCGGTTCGTGAATCGTATTAGGGCACATTTCCTATATCTTAACTAGTCGCGGATTCTTGCTGGCCTAATCAGCAAATAAAACTGCTACAGTTTTTAGGATCGGTAAGGCTGTTAGGATGGATAGGGCTGTTAGGATCGGTAGAACTGTTAAGATCGGTAGGGTTGTTAGGTTTTGTAGGATTGTTAGGATCAATGTAAGGCTGTTAGGATGGATGGGGCTGTTAGGATTGATAGGCCTGTTAGGATCGATAGGCCTGTTAGGACCGATAGGGCTGTCAGGATTGATAGAGGTATTAAGATCGATAAAAATTGTTAGGATTATTAGACTGTGAATTGTTAGACTATAGTATTTTATATAGTAAGATAATTACTATATAATATACTATAAAGCTTTCCCTTATTGAAGCATAAGATATAATTTAAGAGCGCAAAATTGTATATTATATTATGTAAAATTGTATATTAATTGTATTCTGAAAAAGCTGTACAATCAAAATTGATGTATAATGTTTGATATCATTCTTGATTTTTTAATAAATATTCACATTGCATATATAATGTAAGTTACATGTAATGTGGATGTTTAATCATTTGATTGAGTTGTAAATTACGTTTTTATATATACGAATTATATTATTAATTATATTAATAATATAATTCGTAATTATATTATTAATTATATTAATAATATAATTTGTATATATAAAAATAAATATAATATAGTAAATATTGTATGTCATTATAAACATTTTATATAATGTTATTTTATATAATGTTAAGTTCAAATGTAAATGCTATCGTTATCTAATAATGCCGATAATTAAGATATTAAATAAAGCTAAATTATATATTAGAACATAAATAATTTCTTTTTTTTTTTAATTTACAGTTTATATATATATTCGATTTGATAAAATATTGTCATTTATCAATTTAAGCAATAAAAGACGTACTTATTTTGGAACATTTTTGTGCAAATTTGCAACGATTTATTTCTATTATCGACTTATTTGATAGAGGTAGCATCATTGTAATTTATATTCTACATCTATACTATGTACATAATCAATATATTGTAATTTATATATTGTATAATTTATATATATTGTATATACATATAATACGATTATTGAACTTAAAAATTTATGATTCCTTTTGTCATCTTTAACTCATTTTTTAATCATTATTGTTTAGGTAACTTTTAAGTGATAAATAAAATCATGATAACGTCATAATGATGTCATTATGAGTTTCTACTTATGATGTTCTACTTGGGTATGGACGGTATGGAGCCAAAATGGCGAATGATTGCGGTAATTTATAAATCTAGTAACTTTAACCGTCGACATAAAAAGGCGCCTTAATCATTTCCCCAGACGACGACCGCCAATGGCGTCGCGCGACGCTCGTTTCGCGAAACGTCACTTTGCGGAACAGTCGGCGAGGCGAGAGCGGCCGCGAACAGCTGATCTCCGGTCCTCGCGATACGCCATCACTCGAGCGTTGCGGGAGCACATGTTCGTCGCGCGATAAGTCCACGCCAGCAGTTTTTTCCCTCTCGGCTTCTCGTCCTTTTCATCCCGAGTCGCTTTCGTCGCGAATCCGAGCGACGCGACTCGCTTGGCAACCAGATCGGCGAAAGGCAACGCGCGCGCGACCCAGGTCTCCCGGTTGCTCGTAGATGTGCGATGAGCAGCGGCCGGCGATAACCGGCGTTACCGATCCTCCCCGTCGCCGCTGTTGCTGAGGAACATGGCCGATCGCGATAGCGCGTCCGAGAGCGACTCGAGCTCGATTGACGGCGGACCGATCATGATGCCGCCCTCGCCGGTGACGCGCGAGCAGCTGCAGAAGCGCATCGAGTCCCTGCAGCAGCACAACCGCGTGCTCAAGGTCGAGCTGGAGACGTACAAGCTGCGAGTGAAGGCTCTGCAGGAGGAGAATCGCGGCCTGCGCCAGGCATCTGTCATCATAGTGAGTGCCTTTATCAAGGATTCCTTCGGTCAGACGAATTTTTTTCCTTGCTCGGAATGTCATTTCACCTTGTGTTAAGTGTACATTCATGTTTCTTGTTATTTGCAGCAAGCGAAAGCCGAACAGGAAGAGGAATTCATAAGCAACACGCTGTTGAAGAAGATTCAAGCCCTGAAGAAGGAGAAGGAGACTCTGGCTCATCATTACGAGCAGGAGGAGGAGTGTCTTACTAATGATCTATCGAGGAAGTTGAATCAACTGAGGCAGGAGAAATGCAGGCTGGAACAGACGTTGGAGCAGGAGCAGGAGTGCTTGGTGAATAAGCTGATGAGAAAGATTGAGAAACTGGAGGCGGAGACGTTGGCCAAGCAGAGCAATCTAGAGCAGCTGCGGCGTGAGAAGGTCGAGTTGGAGAACACGCTGGAGCAGGAACAGGAAGCTTTGGTCAACAAGCTATGGAAGCGAATGGACAAGCTCGAGGCGGAGAAGCGGATGCTGCAGATCAAGTTGGACCAGCCGGTCTCGGATCCCACTTCGCCCAGGGAGATCAACAACGGCGACACAGCCACAAATCTGAGCACGCATATTCAAACCCTGAGAAGCGAAGTCGCTCGATTAAAACACACTCTACTTATCTCGCAGCAAGAACGTAATTATCCCCTTTTTCCGTTTCTGATTTGTACTGAGAAGTTTAGTGATCTTAATTTAATATTGCTCGTTTATTAGATACGGAAAAAATGAAGCGGTACGTTAACGAGGAGAAGCAAATACGCGAGGAAAATCTGAGACTTCAGAGGAAGCTGCAGCTCGAGGTGGAACGTCGTGAGGCTTTGTGCAGACATCTCTCAGAGTCTGAGTCCAGGTCAAAATTCCTTAATTATATTTTGATATTTGCAATATGATTTTCATGGCAATTTAAATTGCAATTTAAGTGAGCAAAAAATTGTTAAAGGTACATTTTTTGTTATTTATATATAACTTATATATTATATAATTTAGAATATTAATATTATTTTTATATTTATATTCATTATTTTATACTAAGCACATGTCAAGTTAAAGCTGCTAAAATATGCAAATTTTATTCATACTTGAACAATGATAATCTATTATTTATTAACACTTCAAATAGATTGCAAAGTACAATTTATTTTCCACGATTTGTGTAAACTATTATTATATAATTTTTTGTAGTAGATGAAAGCTTTTACAAGAAATTTAATAAATAAAATAAAAAAAAGCTTTTACAAGCAATTTAATAAATAAAATTATTAGCTTCACAAAATTCAATGTTATTGCTTGCAATAAACTTTACAATTATTGTGAAATTGTTTCAAATTTTGTGTTATATGAATATTAGAACTTGAAAAAAAGACACACTTTACATATCTTGTTAAATTTTTTTAAAGAAATATATATCTCTAGGTATTCTTTTTTAATTACGTCGAATTTTAAACAATTACAAATGACATAAAATGGATATATCTCTTTTTTGTGATACAACTAAATTTTAAGTACGATTGAAAGATATTTATCATTTTTAATTTTATAGACATGATGTGATTTTACAGTTTGGAGATGGAAGAAGAACGGCACTACAATGAAATCGTGATGTCTGGAGGGAACATAAGGACACGCACTCTGTCCAGTCCTGTGCCCTACAATCCTTCGCCTAGTTCCTCAAGGCCACTAAGCCCAGGTAAGTTCTTCCACGTTTGTTTCATCCGATTGTGTTGTATAAATGAAACTGCATGAATAAATAGATAGAATATATAATTTATACATGAATAGAAAATGATATGTAATGTACAGGGTGTTTTAGACAGGGTGTTTTAGACAGGGTGTTTTACCATCCATATCACCCATTTAAAAACTAGAGAAGTGGTTATTTCAAAAAAGTAAAAACATTTTCTTTATAAATCGGGTGCGCTCTATCGAATGGTGATATTTTCAACTTCTGGTTCCGGCCGGAAATAGGCGATTCAGACCGGAAGTGCATTTTTTAAATGGAACCCCCTATTTTTCATTGCATATTCTTGTAGCTTACCTCGAGAGCTTTCCAAAACACTATAATAAATTATTTTTCCATGAAGTACTTTTCGAGTTATGAGGCTTGAAATCATTTCTTAATTTTACATAAACCATAAAATATCTTGTAAAATATTCATTTTTCGATTATCTTACCTTAATACTTTTATGTACAAAATAATGAGAGGAATCAATTGGTATAAAGAAAACATACAGTTGTTTTTAAGAAAAAATATGGAATTGTTAATTGCAAATTACATATTTTTTCTTAGGAACAACTATGTGTTTTCATCAATTGATTTCTCTCATTATTTTGTACATAAAAGTATTAAGATAATCGGAAAATGAATATTTTACAAGATATTTTATGGTTTATGTAAAATTAAGAAATGATTTCAAGCCTCATAACTCGAAAAGTATTTCATGACAGTATTTCAAAAACAATTTATTATAGTGTTTTGGAAAGCTCTCGAGGTAAGCTACAAGAATATGCAATGAAAAATAGGGAGTTCCATTTTAAAAAATGCACTTCCGGTCTGAATCGCCTATTTCCGGCCGGAATCAAAAGTTGAAAATATCACCATTCGATAGAGCGCACCCGATTTATAAAGAAAATGTTTTTACTTTTTTGAAATAACCACTTCTCTAGTTTTTAAATGGATGGTACGAGTGGTCTAAAACACCATGTATAAGTGATTAAAGTCTGCGCTCTCTTCCCTCCGGATGCACGTTTGGTGTTTAGCGAATTCATGCGAATACGCGTTTTATCATTAGGTATTAACGTGCTAGGTTCAACGTCCAGAGAGGGCTTCAACGCAAACCGGTGCTACGCCTGCGGCCAACCGACTGCCTCTCCCTTTGCGAGCTCGTCACCTCCTTCAGGGGTAAACTATCACGTAGAAAAAACAGTGTTAACGCTGGAAACTAATTGATTATTCATTAAATACGGTAGTCTTTCCTCAGATAACTTCCCTTCAATTAGTATCTAGCTCGACAACGAGAAGACGAGCCTCCTGGAAAGAATTATTATTTATCTTTGTTTGTGCGAAACAGGGACATATCGTGGCGCCGTCCAGCAGACGCACATCGGATCGTTTTGTCAAACCGGCAATACCGCCCACCATCGTGAGCCCTGGTGGACCGCCGACCATCGCTCCCAATCCTACGGCAAATGTCGCCGTTCCTCATCCAGGATCACCGATGGACATCGCGAAGACATAAGTCGTCTACTCGAAGAGAAAAGGGCTCTTTACGGAAACTCTTTTTACATAATTACGCGCGCAAGGTACTTCTCTAAACGGTTTGCATCCCAGTTAAAGAGGATACGCAGTTTGATCGAGACACCACCATCGGCGCTTTTTCTCTTCGAACATCTCCGTTCGTAAACTACTACTTCAGCTCTAATATAACACACGGGCTACCGCTAAGACACGGGACTTAAAATAATTTCGATCTGAATGGCAGTTATAGAGTTTAAATGATGCAATTGCGAAGCCTCTCGGTCGCGGGGCGCTTCTCCTCGACGATTCCTTTTAATGCCTGAAGTACCATTCAGACCGAGCTATTTATCGTACTACGCAATTAATATCGTTTGAGTGTTATACATAAGAAAAAAAAGAAACATTGACATGTTGCTTCCATGTTCCAAGTAATCATAATATAAATGTTGAGCGCGAACGCCGGATGGACACCTACACGGCATAATTGCGATATTATTATTGTATCTCACTGTGCGTTTAAGAACATAAACGAAAGTAAAACTAGCATGTAGTGTTGCGATGTTAACACGATTTAACAGATATGCATTTTGTTTAGCTTTGAGCCTGAATAATTATTTAGCGCCACGGACTTTTATATATTTTATTGGATCACTAACGCAATTAAGTCAGCCATTCCTAAGTAAAATTCGATATGCCGTATCTCGCTAAGATGCAGAAGTGAGCATATATATTAAAATTAATGTTATAATAATATTACAATATTATAATATTAATTAATATTATATATTATAAATTAATTAATATTATATATCAATATTATATATTATAATATTAATTAATATTATAATAATATTATCACATTAATTAATATTATATATTAAAATGAAAAATATCAAATATGCGTATAGTGCATATATAAAAATAAGAAATATGTTAATACTTATAGCATACTTTATTGCCCTTGCTGTTATCATGAAAAAATTAGCAATCTAGTATAATATATAAAAGTCTGTTTTTTAGCGCATTTTACTAAAGCAGAAGCATAATTCTACTAGAGAAAAGGTTTGGTTAGTTCCCTCGCAGAGATTATATCGGATCTTATGAATACACAATCAGAAAAAGTTAGATTTCAGAGAGATTGAAAGTTTTGAGAATTTTTAAATTTTTTCAATGATCGCGAGAATCTGACAATTCATAAGGCCTTAAAGTTCCAAGGATTCCAAACAGTCCAACGATCTGAGAATCTAAAAGCAGACTCGCTGATCTAAAATATGTGTATTCTTCAAAGTGCTTAAGCATCTAGGTGTCTATAAATGTACAGACATACAATACTTGAAATAAATATTTAACGCGACCATGGAATATTGCAAGTTCAATAATCCAAGTATTTGCACAATCACAATAATTTAAAAAGTTTATTTGTTTAAGAAAGATCTATTCATTGTAAAAAAGAGCCTAAAAAGATTTTTCTTAAATCAAAATTTTTAAATGATTAGCTTTGCAAGCTTGGCGTTTTTGAAATAGCTGCTCTCAGAATTTTTCTAGATGTCCTTTATCTCAGAATTTGTAAATCTTGAAACGTTAACACTTGGAAAACATGACGCATCCAAAGCCTGGTCTCTTTGACCTCAAATTTCTTAGCTATAGAATGTCAGAACGTTGGAATTTAGAATCTTGAAGCTCTGATATGTTGGAACAGCGAAGCCTGGAATCACGATATCGAAGAATTAAGCACATAGCATATGAGAAAAGCAGAGTTTTCATATAATTAAAAAAATCTTTTTGTTCGCTAATAAATTGTTTTTTTTATATCAATGATAATATGCTTTAGCTTGATATGTGTTGTCTGTTATGTTACATGAAATCAGATTTGATAGTCTTTGTTCTTTAGAAACGTTATTTCGTAAATTTGTAAATTTGGAATCCTGCTTATTCCTGATAGATTTTAACATTTTTACACTTTTAACAATTCTAACATTTGTGCGAGTTTTGTTTTTTAAAGTTTTTACCTCAATACTTTATTTTTTAAATCTTTGAGATTCTACTGTCTCAAGATAGTGGAAATCTGAAGGAAATCCTGAGATTTTAAGGAATGTTATAAAGATACAACATATTAGAAGATCGGACGCATTTTTTTTAAAGCTTCTCGATAAGTTTGTTACCATGAATTATGATGTGAGAAGCAGAAGAATTTGAAAGAGATGTGCGACATTACAAAGCTTGTCTAAGCTTACATTCATATGAGCGATTTTCTCGCGTTCCTTCCCTTCCGATCTCGTTAATACAAGATAACTAACATTTTACAATGAGAATGCCTGTTTAAAACAGGTGCAGTATATATAACACACACACATACACAAATTAAACACAAGTAACGGCGTTGTTTATTATGTTATATTGAATGGTACATATATATGAACAGTCGTATATATGATATAGAAATTTATTATAACGTAAAAGGTTCTTACCGATAATTGTGTAATTACGCAGATATGCTTCACAGCTGCATAGTATGTATTTTATTCAAGCTTTTATGAAATACAGTCACGTTTTTGCTATTACACGTTATCTACCCCTTTTCGTTATATAAAATTAATTATTTAATAATAAAATTTATTTAATAACAAAATTATTTTTTTAATAATATGATTAATTATATTATATATATATTAATTATATAATAATTATATATTAATTATATATTAATTTTATAATATATATATATATATATATATTAAATTAATAATATATATTATATATATAAATAATATATATTAAATTAATAATATATGTATTATATAATAATAATATATCTTAAATTAATTATGTATTAAAATTATATAATATATATATTATATTATATAATATAATATTATATAATATTATTTATGTATAATTTACAGTATTAGCGTTTATTAACGCTTATAAATATTATTTAAAAACATACTTTATATAAAATTTATAATTGAATTGCTCTATCGGTAATGAAGATGTGTCTCTTTATCGACGGTTTGCGTTTCGGATTAAATTACAGTGTTTTGCATTATCGAGACATGAAATTACAGAATCACTTGTATTATCAGTAATAGCCTCGCGATTCTCTGATTCGCACCTGATTCAATCTCGATGCACGTGCTGAAAAGAATAGACGGTTTCGCAATGCGTTCGAGAAATGTCACTCGTTAATCGTCCTTGTATCCTTTAAAAAAGACCCCTTATCTCGTAAGTACGTAATTTATTTTTTCAAGTTTCTCGGAATCTCCAAAATGGAGGCTTATCAGTCGCGTACACAAACATTTTGCATCAACTAATTTTAATCGCGCGCATTATTTGCAGGATATAAACAAGATAGACTTGATTTTTCGTTGCTCCGAAATCGTTAATTTTTCGCTGCGGCCACACGCAATTAAAGAGTACTAGGTGTCCACGAGACGGATTGCCGGTGGTAAGAATCTCGATATCGAGACACTATGAACTCGTGCAGCAAGAAGAACGAGGATGTATTGGCGCGAGTCCTGGATTTGTTTCTCCTGCCAGATTACAATGTCGTCTCGACGACCTATCTAGATCACTTGCTCAGCCACATTGCAGAAAACACAAAGGATCGTAAGCGAAGAACATATTTCATAATTTTATCCTATTCCGATGTCTATCTTCCAATGAATACATGTGACGTGAATTTTGCAGGTGACACAGTCGATTATGAATACTGCGAGGTCTTTCAAAAATGGATATCAAAGGCTTTGATGGTATGGGAATCTGGACAGAAGGTTTCACAGCCTGTGATTACATTTACGTTGAAACTTGTGGGGATTATTTCACGACACGAATTACGTTATCACTATTGGCAATGCCAGGATGTATACAACAGGCTCTACAAAATTCTGCAATTGCATAGAGATGACTTGCCTGCGTCTGTTAAAATGGCATATACGACAATGTTGTTAGACTTGATTGTTCATCGAAGTGGCAGGCAATGGGTGGTAAAATCTGGTAAACATTTGACAAAATTGTAATTAATTTTCAAATTTATTTAGGATCATATTGCAAGCATGAAAAGGATACAGAATTATTTTTTTTTTAATGTATTTGTATACAGGGTGTTTCAGACCACCCATTTAAAAACTAGAGAAGTGGTTACTTTAAAAAAGTAAAAACATTTTCTTTATAAATCGGGTGCGCCCTATCGAATGGTGATATTTTCAACTTCTGGTTCCGGCCGGAAATAGGCTATTTATAAAAAAAATGTTTTTACTTTTTTGAAATAACCACTTCTCTAGTTTTTAAATCTAATTTTTAAATGGATGGTAGGCTGAAACACCCTGTATATGCATTATATTTTTATAAATAAAAATAATATACAAAAGATATAATATATAAAAGATGTATAAAAGCATTTTAATGTATTTTAAACATATATGCCATTTGTTTTTATAAAATGGATGTAAATTATTATTATTTTGCTATTTAAACACGACAGGTGTGTGGAAGGACGTTGTAAAGTGTGCGCATTGGAATCACACGATGTATGTTACAAGGGAGAGCCAGAAATTCTTATCAACATTGCTATTGCATGAACAAAAAAATATCGAAGCTTGTACAGAGATCATTTTGGAAGTTGCTGCTCCTTTGATGAACAATACTGTAGATGCTCAGCTACATCAAGCGCTCGAGGAGACATATCTGGAACAGAATAGATTGTTATGTGCCACATTGGATCTATTGACAAGTATCTTGGAAAATACACTGTTTGTGAGTCTGGACAACAGCATTCCTGAACTGCTCGAGAAACTCGTAAATCTTGAGATGCGGGTGAAAGCGCTATTCGAGGCATGCATCAGCACCCGTTTTCTCCAACATGTGCACAAATTGTTGCTGCTGTTGCTGTTCCTAAAGTTGAAACAAGGAATCAAAGAACACACTAATCAGATTGATGCTGATGCATGGCAAAAGTTCTGTTATAGTTTATGCTATATTTCTATGATGCTACTTTCGAAGAAGTACATCATAGAATTAGTGAGGAGTAACAAGTTTGCCATGATATACTGGAAGAAGCTGCTCGCGTTACGAGAAATTCTTTTGCCAGAGGAACACAAGTTTGAACATCAAGCTATTGCGCTCATGGTACGTAAGCCATTGTTTATTCATACATATCTGTGCATATGCAAATTGGTGTTTAAATGTTATTATGAAGAACAATAATATATATATATTTTTTATTTGTACAAACAGATATTACCATTGTGCCTGTGTATAAAGAAGAATCATTTAAATCACGATTTCTTTGATATGTTCATTAATAAACTTTTTGATGTAACGTGTACCACCGTGCAAAGATTAGCATACAATATGAGGGATATCATACGAAAGGAAGATTTTCCAATGGAACAAATTTGCAAAGTGTCTATTGATCTGCTGCTTGAAATATTAGATATAATGGATAGAGTAAGTATCTTCTTGAATTATTTATACACTTTATTATTTATTTATATAATTTATTATTTAATTTTTTATTTTGCAATTTGTATGATATATATAATTAAGATTTACGATTATTTTATTTTATTCTATCTCATGTATATAAAATTTATGTATGACTGTGAGATATGCAATATTAATTGAGTTATAGAGTTTGAAATATGACATATTTGAATTATTGCACATTTAGGATTATAATTATTATAAGTAATTATGCACACATCCACAATTATATTTTAAGTTTTTATTAATTGTTCTTTGATTATTCTAATCTTTTCCAGGACGTAGCAGTGATCGCCTTTCAAGCTTTATGCCACGTTTTAAAAAGTTACTTGCCAAACATATGTGGGGAAACAAGGACTAATGTATCATCGAATATGAACAACACTTTTCCTTCGGAACATCAGCAAAAGTTTCGCTACAAATCGATATTGGAAGGTGATATAGCTCAATATCCTACTTTACTGGCATCACTGCTCGACGGATTAACCATCATGACAGAGAGATTTAAATTGAAGTGGCAGGAATGCGTAGAAACGATATGCGTATTATACCTTGCGCAAGGAATCCTCAATCATTCTGGAATACTACCAATGGTAAGAAGTCTAACGCCGAAATTGTATTGATAGATTGTTTTTTTTTTTCGTACAAAAGGAATTTAATTGTAAGTACCTGTTTGAAAATTTAGGACAAAAAAAGGATGACATAAGTCTTTCTCACAAAAATGCTCAATTCCTACTTAGATTTGCGTGAAGGCATTGAAGCTATGCAAGCTCGCCATCCATAACTTTATGCCGCCTAATATGGCGTTACTCGTGGACTCGGACAGTCACATGAACGAGATAGGACCTCTGCTCTTCAAGAGGCTGCACGATCCTAATTGGGAAGTAAGAGACAGCGTTCTCGAGGTTCTCAATACCATTGCAACGATTTCTGAAGACAGTAAGTGAAGCAAAAGTAGGATAATATAAAATAGTACATTTGTACACGTGCACATATGAATTCTGTAATTATTTGTATTTCAGGTAATATAATTGAAATAACAATGAATAATTATCATATAAAATACACATACATACTCTAGAAATACTGTATCTTTCTGTTGCAGCATATCCGGCGTTTCAAGACTTCTTGTTGATTAATCAATTTCCAAAAGTGGCTATCGAAATTGTCAAAACGGATGGCGAAAGTTATGTGCGAGCATCAGCATTAACGTTCATTGCGACTATCGTACGCATCAACAAACTGTGGCATCAACAGTTATCACAAGTAGATTTAACTGTAAGTATTATTTCTTATTTATACATATTTTTTAAATGTGTCTTTGAGAAAGACGAGAGATTGATAAATTGAGATAAATAAATTGATTGTTACAGGAAATGGCGATTTATTTACTCGAGAACGAGAGCGAAGCGATAGTGAGAAGGGAGGCTGTGAATCTAATTAAAGAATTATATGTCCATCAGAAATGGTCGTACGTAGAATTTGTAAATTTATGGATTAGATAATGGTTGATATATTAGACAATCAATTTCATCGATTCGCAGAAAGGAAGTTATCGATTCAATGTTACGAGCGATGTCGATGGCGGCTGTGTTTGATCTGCATTGGGAGGTGAAAATAAATGCTTTGATGTTTTGGGATCATTTTGTCAAGTCGCATTTGACGGATCAGGGGATGCTCGACGATTCGTTTCCAAACGTAACGTTCTCCAAAGAGCACAGAAAGATTATGGCGTTAAATGAGACAGAAATTAAGAGGAGGTTAAATAAAGCATTGGATGAGCTAGCGAGGCAAAGTTGCTTAGGTGTAAGTAATGGCAATTGAACCTATAAACTCCGTTCTTAGATTATAAGCTCTATATCCTTAAATCTCTTTGTCGATCTCTACATACAATTCACAGAATAAATGAATAGATTTAATTCATAAATAAATATTAATAGTAACAGATATACAGCGTGTCCCAATTATCTTCCGTCATCTTTCAAAGTGTTTTGTTAATATTTTATTTCTACAAAGCTTAGTTTATGAAAAACTCCTTATTTCCAATCACTTATAATTCGAAAATTATTAGTGCCACGACATTTTCGTTGAGGAAAAATCGTCTTCAGATGATCCCAGGAATCTGTCTTTGAAAGATGACGGAAGATAACTGGGACATCCTGTATATCTTTCAGGTACTCCTAGTCACTCTGAAGGACGATAGCGACTTTGAGGTATGCAAAGCATCTGCTACGATAATTGACAAACTGAAATCTTGTCTACTTAAGTACAAACTGGACGAACCGTCGTCACCAGTGAAAAATAGCGCGACGATAGATACCGTCTACATTAAAGAGACATCACCGGTACCTTCGCCTCCTTCCGATAAAGAAATGAGAAACTCTTCACACGTCATCGAAGAGATCGTGGACGAAAATGACACTAATCTATTAGCGGCTATCTACAAGAGCTCCATGAACATGGACGGCGAAATGACGAAGGAAGAGGAGAAGAAGATGCTCGATTATATCTCATCCGTGACACGCCAGGACTTTCTCCGCGCTATTTTTAATTGCGATATCAATGCTTATATCGAGGAAAAGAACCGCTGGTTAAAAACATACACTAGTAGCTTCGAATCGATTCTGGACGATATACTGACGATGTACAAGCAGAAAAACATTAATTCTATGGACTGTTACTAATGCAATTAAACGTCAGAGCCGTTTAATTTGCGCATATAATTGGCATTCCTTTTCTTACCCTATATCAGAGATATTTAACGAATGCCGCGCGCGCATGCGAGTGTCAGTTGTATATTTATAAATATCATATACTTGAGCATAAATTGATATATATTTTTAAATATGTATCATTTAATTAAAATTCAACTTGTAAAATATATTGTCTGTAATAAAAAAAGTTTCTTAACGCGAGAATATTTTACAAGCCGATTATTCGACCACGCCATTTCGTTTTTCATGTATATTCTTTTAACTTTTTGACATCCTTTGTTTTTTCAATACGACATTCATATTTTTTAGAAGCATATATAGGATGAGTTATTTCGTGTGTCAATCTTTTTATCATGTGGAAGATTGTCGACTGCATAATAAATTGATCGGTTACATAAATGTCAATTTTTTTTATCGATCGTATCGAATATAATGTGTACAATAATAATAATAATAATAATAAATACGTAGTTTTATTAATAATAATAATAATAATAAATCTATATATCTACTACATAAGTTCAACTTTTAATTTGCTTTAATTTTACACATTATATTCGAGCCTTTGGAACGGTCGATCAAATAATTGACATTTATGTACCGATCAATTTATTATGCATATTATCGATAATCTCTCGCATGATAAAAAGATTGTATATAAAAATTATATTGTATATTGTATTAATATTGTATTGTATATTGTATTGTATAATTATATATTATAAATAAAACTCACCCTGTATATCGTATATAGTCGTATTGAAAAAACAAAGGACGTCAAAAAAAGCTAAATTCTAAAAAAACATACATATATAATTATATATATCTATATTATATTTTTAATTTATGTCTCTATGATACATACAAAAAATCATTTGCATACATATGTATATAATTTTTTTTGCTCAATTGACAGTTTTATCTTAGCTAGATATTAAGGCGAAAAGATGAATCACCTTTTCGTTTGCTACATATAAATATTTAATTCACTATTCGACTGATTGCATTCCGAATCGCTTTTTTATTTGGTATATATAAATATTTAATCTTTCATCTTTTTGTTCGATATATATAAGTATTTAATCAATTAATCGAACGATTACATTCTGGATCGTTTTTTCGTTCAGTATATATAAATATTTAACGAATTAATCGAATGATTGCATTCGACTTGCCATTTTACTCGCCGCGTTACAGTGAATATCGTGCGAGAGAGGCAGGCAACATGCGCGGCGTGCACGATTCGACCGTTCGCGCGCAGACGAAAAACGGCCAATTTATATCTCGACTTCCGGACGCGATAGCGATTTCGTTCTGTTTGCATAAAATTCTACACCATTTCGCGGCACTACCGTTTAAATCTCGTCCCGATCGCCCGAGGAACGGCTGACTTACAGTGAATATCAGTAGAAGCGGGCGGCGACGAGAGTCGTCCCACTGTAATCTGATACTACGAGCGCGACGAAGCGGTGGGTGGGTCGCTTTCCGAGACATGATGGTTTGCGATATTTCGCAATACCGCGCCAAAAAATGACCCGTCCTTTTAGTGGCGAGAAAATGATGCGCTATCATTTCCACACCACCTTGCGGTAGATAGCATGGTGCGCTTTTTTTATAGTGGTTTCCCCCATAGGCCTATTCCACTCTCAATTTGAAAATTATTCAAAATGCCATTACTATACGCTGAATATATCGTAAATGTAAAAAATTAATGGTGACAGTACCTTTACAAAAATTGATCCGTGGTTGACTCTCGATAAAATGTATTGCACACGTTGATAATGATACGATGATAAAATGCTTCAAGAATCCTTTCTTCATCTCGTACACGAAGGCGCACTGCTGGACCGGTTAACACGATATTATGCACGACACCCAGGTTTCACATAATTTATTGCACAACACGTAAAATTGTATGGCCACTTGGTTTTCATGCACGCCCGAGAAATGATTTCATGTAAATTGCGGCCGCACGATAAGTATTTTATCCCGCTAGTCCGTATGCCACAATTATATCCATATATTCCTGCAGAGTACACTTCATTTTCTCTGTTAATTTACTACGCAAACACAAGATTTTTATTAAAATGTCTTAGCTCTCGCACGCTGTTACCAGACTGCGTACGCCAGCAGCACGCAACTACAGCTGACAGCTGAGCGGACTGTGAATGTAATCATAGTGCGCAGGCGTCGAACTCACACGTGCGCTTCCATTCACATGTCGCTCAGCTGTCAGCTGTAGTTGCGTGCTGCTGGCGTACACAGTCTGGTAACAGCGTGCGAGAGTGCGTTAAGACGTTTTAATAAAAATCTTATGTTTGCGTAGTAAATCAACAGAGAAAATGAAGTGTACTCTGCAGGAATATACGGATATGACTGTGGCGTACGGACTAGCGGGAGAAAATACTTATCGTGCGGCCGTAATTTACATGGAATCATTTCTCGGGCATGCACAAAAACCAAGTGGCCGTACAATTTTACGTGTTGTGCAATAAATTATGTGAAACTGGGTGTCGTGCATAATATCGGGATAACCATCGGAGGAACCAGTGCGCCTTCGTGTACGAGATGAAGAAAGGATTCTTGAAGCATTTTATCATCGCATATTATTATCAACGTGTGCAATACATTTTATCGAGGAATTTTCAATCACGGATCAATTTTTGTAAAGGTACTGTCACCATTAATTTTTTACATTTACAATATATTCAACGTATAGTAATGGCATTTTGAATAATTTTCAAATTGAGAGTGGAATAGGCCTATGGGGGAAACCACTATAAAAAAAGCGCACCATGCTATCTACCGCAAGGTGGTGTGGAAACGATAGCGCATTATTTTCTCGCCACTAAAAGGACGGGTCATTTTTCGGCGCGGTATTGCGAAATATCGCAAACCATCATGTTTCGGAAAGCGACCCGCCCACCGCTTCGTCGCGCTCGTAGTATCGGATTACAGTGGGACGACTCTCGTCGCCGCCCGCTTCTACGGATATTCACTGTAAGTCAGCCGCTCCTCGGGCGATCGGGACGAGATTTAAACGGTAGTGCCGCGAAATGGTGTAGAATTTTATGCAAAAAGAACGAAATCGCTATCGCGTCCGGAAGTCGAGATCTAAATAGGCCGTTTTTCGTCTGCGCGCGGACGGTCGAAATCGTGCACGACGCCGCACATGTTGCCTGCCTCTCTCGCGCGATATTCATTGTAACGCGGCGAGTAAAATGGCAAGCCGAATGCAATCGTTCGATTAATTCGTTAAATATTTATATATACCGAACGAAAAAGCGATCCAGAATGTAATCGTTCGATTAATTGATTACATACTTATATATAACGAACGAATAGATGAATGATTAAATATTTATACATATCGAATAAAAAAGCGAGTCGGAATGCAATCAGTCGAATAGTGAATTAAATATTTATATATACCAAACAAAAAGATGAATCGGAATACATTCGTTCGATTAATTCACTCACACTTAAGTGTAATATTTATACATATATATAAATATTTATATTATATGTATCATATGTAATAAAAATAATATATAATTATAAAATAATATTTATAAATATATAATATTTAATAATATTTAATTATATAATTTATAACAATATAGAAATAATAATATTATTTATACCTATATTATATCTCTATTATTATATATCATATAATTAAAATTATTATTTGTGGCATTTAAAATGCCCGTAAGTTTTATGAAATGCAAGCAGATCAGATTTAATATTTAGAGGTAACTTTTTCAATTCGGTTTGGCAACAAATCGCTTGAAGCAGGCAGCGAGTAGCTTAGGCAGCAAAGTATTCATCTGTTAAATGAAAAGTCCATAGACTTAAAGAAATAGACTGTGCATCCCCCCCCCCCTATACAAAAAACTCAAAAGAATTCTCTTTTTCTTTCTTTCCTTCAATTGTGCGAGAGAGAAAGAGATCCAATCGTTCTCGCTCTTTCTTTCTAATGTTGAAGTCTTTTGTGTAGAAGAATGCGGAGTCTATTTCTTTAGGAGTCTATGGAAAAATCTCGGGATCGAGTCCTGATACCGCCGTTTCATTCTCGTTCCGTTGTTCGAAGAAGATGCACACAAATGAATACGCTTCTTTTGATGTGAGATACTCTATTAATAGAAATATTCTATGATTACTCTTCTTTTAATTACACTTTCTTTGAATTGTTTTAATTACCAGTTGATGACCTAAATGTTTAAAATCCTAACAAAATCACGTGGGTCAATAAAATTCGAAGTAAGCATAAAATACGTGTAACTGCCCACGTGTTCCTCAAGTTAGATAATATTTGTTTGTTTTTTTCCAATATCCGTATAAAGATTTTCATTTGGACAAATGAAATTCTTAATCTTTACCAAGAAGGAAGCAAAACTTTGTTATAAGTGTTCATACATCGTTTTTTTTAAAGTGACGGCATCTTTATTCTTACAGATAAAGAAGAGTAGCATCAGCATTTTTGTATCACGTGGTTGCATTGCGTCATCCTGAAGTGATAAAACTCAAGAAGTAACTGACAGGAATAAGTGCGTATTCACAAAGGAATAATTTTCCATTGATTTTTAAATATTTTTATTATCATATGAGTGCGTCTCGATTTCATCTCTCCGAGAGAAAAAGAATTCAAAGAAGCAGAAGCAAAACTTTTCAACCGTTCGTTTCGTCGATATTAAATATTACGCTGCCACAAAGTCAAGTCGCCGTCATGTCGACATCGACGGAAAAATTGTCCTCTTCCCCTGAAAATGCAGATGTAGAAAAAAGAAATTTAGGAACAAAAATTAACGAAAAAGGGTAAAAATGATGTCTTCTTCTTCTTTTCCTTTTTAATCGTAGATGTCACCAAGATAATAGGAGAAAATAAAAAGCGTGCGATGAAGTATAATTAATTCAAACTAAAGTGAATTAGCAAGTAACTAAACTGAAAGTTGTCAAATATTTGCAGAGAGATGCAGAAGGATGAGGAGGAAAATTTGCAATGCATTCTGGCAAGGGAGTTATATCCAGAGGATCTTAGAAGCTGGCCAATCTTCAGTCTGCTAGAACCGGAATTTATCCCGCAAATTCACACAGTTGTTGTATATGGTAAAATTTATCTTTTTTTCATTGTACCCATACAACACAGAATATTGTAGCAATATTGTTAATATTGTTGTAACATTGCAGCAACATTGCAATATTGTCACAATATTACTGCAATGTTCTGTACGAGTATTGTTTTTTTTTTATTACGATACTATTCCCTGTGTCTCGCATGTTGAACAGGTAACTTGGGTAATGGGGCTATAATTGTGACCAAGGACAAGAATGTGTACAATTTAGGTTTTGATAAAGATGATTGTTCGACGGCTGGTGACAAACGTGCTTTCTGCTTAAAAAAGATAGAAGAATTGTGTGGAAAAAATCTAAAAACTTTTGCTCACAACTCATATTTTATTCTGGCCCTTACAGAAGAGGGGGAGGTATATAAAAAAATTAATATTCTTTGAATGTATCTCAATCACATTTAAATTTCTGGAACTAAATTTTAACTTGCTTGAATGATAAGAGTGATATCAGGAGGTTTTATAACCTTCCTAAATCGTGAATTTTTCTCAGGAAACAAGTGAAAATGAAAATTCATATTATATTTTACGTTTAAGATATTATAAGAAGAAAAAATATGTGCAAAACAATAACGTAGGCGTGGTTGTACTACTTGAAGGATTTTGTGGTAAAAATTATTAGAGTCAATTAGAAATGAAAATTGAAAGATATTTTTTAATTTTCATTTGCAACATTTTTATTCTACGTACACACATGTATGTGAAATCAAAATATAAGTAGAAAATTTAATTAGGGATATATATTAAATAAATAAGTTACTTTGATTAGAAGTACAGGTATATGGCCACAACATTTATTTCAACATGCAAATATTTTTAAAATTAAGACTATATGTGAAAAATTGTAGTAATTTTTAATTAATATAAATTTTATTTTCTTAATAAGAGAAAAAGTATGAAAAAAAATTTGGAGATATCTCTGATGAACAAAGAAAAACAGAAATTACAGCACATTATTTTCTTTATGTATTCCATCTGGTTTCGTGAAAAAATTAAAGCCACACACACATATGCATGTTCATAATATTTTACAAGTGTAAGAAAATGTCATTTCTTTTATATGTATCATGGTTAATGAATTTATATAAATTTATTCAATTGAAAGGCATTTAATATCAACTTTATCATTAATCTTGGATTAAGTCTTTTCTAACAGTTCTTTGATACTTAAATGAAACATTCTATCTAGAATGAAATTAAAAAAATGAGATAAAAAATATATTACAGCTGTATTATATTTAAAAGGTTTATTACTGGAAATTCATCAACTACAAATCGGGAGTTGAGGAATCCAGGCCTACTCGCGTTGCCGGTTTAAGCGAAAAACGTATCGTGGACATCGCATGCGGCAGTAGTCATTCTCTTGCTCTCACCAGCGATGGAAAGGTAAGCAAAAGATTGGACTATCACAATGATAACTACTATCACAATGATAATCATTCTTATAAATTAAACAACTATTTGTAATTTAAAGGTGTATGCTTGGGGAGAAAATAATTTTGGACAAGTTGGTAACGAAAACACAGCTATTTTTAATGGTAGTGTGCCAAGGCAGGTGAAACATGAATTGGAGAAGAAGAATGTTATCCATATCGCCTGCGGTTTAACGTTTAACATGGTTGTAACTGACGAAAACAAACTATATGGTTGGGGCAACAACGAGAGCGGCCAGATTTCATCCGATAATACTTCTTTTTCTATGACTACCTTTAATGGCGGTTCTACCGATCATCGTACATCAGTCTTTACACATTCCTTACAAAATTCACCTATGTTCGGTAGTTCATCAAACTCTAAAAATTTATTCGGCTGTAGCACAACATCCATCAATAATGTCCAGTCGCAAAAACATTATGTGTACCCACGCGAAATTACTTATGATATGATCTCAAGTAAAATAGGTAAATTTTTCTTTTAGTTTATATATGTGATATTTGATCTCTAAGAAAGTTGCAGAATCGAATGTCTTCATGATCGAAATTAATGTTCCAGTTAAAGTTGCTTGCGGATACGAGCATACATTGGCTCTCACAAATAATAGAGAGGTCTTTGCTTGGGGCAAAAACCATATTGGACAACTGGGCGGTAATTATAACATGCAATCCTCCCGTCCAATCAAGGTAATTCATGAATAAAAATTATAAAACTTTAAGGATGTTTCGTATCTATTTTCAAAATATTGAGAATTTAGTGAAAATTGTACAGAATGTCCTTATATATGTTCAGATTCTTCAGTATAATTTTTAAATCGATTCACTAAAGCGTTCACAAGTTATAAAGATTTTAATGCACCCAATTAGCATGTGTTCTTATAGGAAACGTATAACCACGTCGATTCAAATGACAAAAACACATGGAAATAATATTCAGAATTTATTTAAAATTTGCGAAAGTGTAGTTTAGATACAGAGGAAATATTTGGTCAAATAATATTATACAAGTACTAACTGGTTAAAAAAGATATTAAAAATAATTTAATGAAATTAGCTATGTATCTGTTATAAGGCGAAATTCTCTGCCAAAAGTTAATCATTTTGATTAACAAAATTCAGAATATTTCAATAAAAACGCAATAAATATCAAAAAATACATCTCTGCACTGTAGCTAAGATCAAATTGTAATTCCACGCAATTTCTTATACTCAAAACACACCAAAAGTGGATATATTTGTCATCATTGATTTTCAGCTACTTTTTGCTGGGATTGTACATACAAAGCATCCTTAATAATCGCTATGACGTGTGAAACGCGAAGCGGAATAATAAAAAAATAATATGATCAACAGGTGAATACGCCTAAGATGAGAGAGGTGTTGGACATCGCTGCCCACGGTAACTTGAGCGTTGCCGAAGGCTCTGATAGAACTATTTATGTATGGGGTGACTATTTCGGGCAATGTATTACTACTCCATTTCGCACGACGTTTTCAAGGATTCACGATCCATTTGCGTACAATAGCTGCAGAGTCATGCACAAGCCATTGACTGTATCTACAAATATTTACGAGTACGCCAAAGAAGTATTGAAAATAGTGGAATCCTTAGGAACAGGATTCGATGACCCAGTACGTTTCGTATTTTTCTATATGTATTTTTTCGTATTGTATGTCATAAAACTGATATGACATATTTTTATCTTTATATACATATTTTTTAAATTTATATAATTACTATAAAAAAATATAAAGATTTGTAAGAGATTTATAGATCTTCGTAAAAAAAGATTGGAAAATTTTTTTCTACATAAAACAAATAAGTCACTATCTTTAATAATTTTTTTATTAAGATTTCTGCTCTTACTCCAATCGTGAATTACAACATTAAAAGTAAAAAATTACATACTTTTTATGATAAATTTTTATATTAATAATTATAATATATTATCAACTCATTTAACAATTTTTGTTCTTCAGTCAACGAGCGATTTTACGATACAAGTCGAAGGACAATCTATTCACGTTCACAAGGTTATTCTTAAGAGACGCTGCCAATATTTCAAGAAAATGTTCGAAGGCGATTGGACTGAAATTGATCAAAAGTAAGCATTTAGAAAAAAAGAATGTAATACTTTTATTGAAAGTCTCTTAAACTTGATTATTAAATAATGTAACAAGTTTTTTTTTTGACAGTATGTTAGATTTATCACCAGTATACACCGTATCAGATAAATTTTCTTACATCGTCTATAAAGCTTTCTTGAAATACTTGTATACTGGCAAAATTGATTTACCTGCGGAGAAAACATTAGGTAAATTGAAATTAAGTGTAAACTGAAACTATCGCAATCATACAACTCAAAAACTGAAACGACACTTTGTTACAGAGCTTATGAAATTGGCCGATTTATATAATGAAACCAATCTTAAAAAAAATTGCAGTCAGATAATAAAGCAAGCCATTACTGTGTCAAATGTAGCTTTCTTCTATAATGAAGCGATCAAATACAATGCTAAGGTAAATATAATTTGGAATTAATTACTATTAATGTTGATATTGATAAGATTGGAATTTATTAATTGCAATGTATTTATTTATGTGTATTCAATCTTGTTAAATATCATGTGAATTTTAGGAACTCGAGGAATCCTGTTTACAGTATGCTTTCAGTCACCTGACAGCTGTAGTAGAATCAGAGGATTTTGCTAAGTTAGATGTGAATACAATACTTAAGTTTTTACGCAAAGCAGCTAATGGAAATGTTTTTAAAACATAATTTTTTTAAAATGCAAGTTTCGAGCCAAACTGTCAATTGTTTTTTATTCTTACATATGCATTAATCCAGTTACCAATCCATAGTTTAACATTACATAATATAAATATGCAATATATAATTTTATCTAATTTTATTTATCAATTCAGACATTTATAGAATTGATCCTACTCTTAAATAATAAATTTGATGCTATAAGAAATTGATTAATATTATAAGCAATTTTTTTTCTGGTATTACAGTCTTTCCTCAAAGAATATATAATATATAATTATTGTATTATGATCATTGTATTATCAAATATATGCATCAATATTTATGCATTGAGATTATCAAAGATAGAGATAAATAATATTAAAAATTTCAACAATAAAATTATTTACAGTATAGAGAGATAATTTTATTATTATATATAATATAGATTATATACATGGAATAAATTATTATAATTAAGCAATTAATTGTAGTAGAAAGAAGGGATTATAGAATCATTTTAGTTTTTGTCATTGTCGCTCTAGTTAGCATATTTTTTATTTAAAGTAATTCATTTAATCGGATGGCGACAAAGAAAATTTTCGCGTGAGTAAGCAAAATTGTATAGGTGTAAATAACCGCGATAGAACTTGGATATCTCATCTTGATTATAAACTTTATATACTTAAATCTCTGTCAATTTATATATGCAATTAAAAAAAATTAATTAGAGGATTTAATTCAGAAATAAATAATAATAGTAACATATATATTACATATAAATTACATATATTTGTACAGTTCAGTGGCAACAAATTACATGCAAAGTAATTCGCATGTTTCTGCTCGCACGTTTCTTAAGTTGGAATATCTCTCTGTTGATTCCTGCACATATATTTTTACTTGTGCGTGTATTTTTATTCGTTATTCGTATAAAAATATTCATTTATAAGAAATTCTTAATCTTTACGAAGAATGCGAAACTCGTCGATTATAAATGTTTGTATATCCGAAAAGGTAACAAAACACAATAAAAAGAAAGGCTAAAAGACCGTGGATGTTAGCGCGTAAAGAAAAAAATAAAAATAATAATCAAGACTCTAAGTACGAGACATAATATATTAATAATCAGTTAGATATAAAAATACAAAAATATGTATGAAAAATCGCTCCTTTCTCGAATTGATGTCTGAAAAAATTATTACATATGTACATACATTTCGATCTTTCCAAGATCCTTTTCAATGTTCGATATATCGTTGGACAATAAATAAAATATAAATTTAAAAATAAAAATAACAAAGCGCGATAGGAAACGAATAGACCTTGTGTACAATACTAACGGACGCAAAATTTAAAAACGCAAACAATTGGTTCGAAGAATGATTAAGAGCAAAAAGTGGAAATTACATAGACAGTTAAAAAACGAAAAAAACTAATAATGCCTGGCCATAAGTTAAATTTACTGAAAAAAGGCCAACGCTCGTCATCAGAAAAAATAACACAATAAAAATAAACGCATACGTGAACAATTTTAAATAAAGTTTTAATGCGTGACAATCCCCCGTTGAAAAAAGTCCCCAAATTTGCAAATAAATCATGAAGTCGTGGAGATAAAATTGAGCTGGTCAAAAACTTGTAAAAAATTTAGGAGTCTCACTGAAATAAACATCCACAGGAGAGCCAGCAGAAACGAATTGATTCCTTTAATCGACGAACGAAGTGCAAACCTATGTAAAAAATACAAAGAAAGAAAGCAATATATATCAAGAACAAAGAAACTCATGTCAAGCATAAAAGCAATAAACAGTTAGTAATTTCATATCACAAAAACCGTTAACAAAAATGAAAACCGAAAGTTATAAAAGAGAATAATGTGCATAGTATTATACAAAAGACATTGGAAAATATAAAGCGAAATCGAGAGTCTAACAAGGGGAGGATACGAGGTGGGAAATTGATTGAGGCTTCGCGTGGTTGTAGTAATGCCTTAAAATATTATTATATTAAAATCTTAGAGTGCACTAGCCAGATAAACCGCCTTAAAAATCCCAACTTATATACTTTAAAAAGTATATCTCGAGGTCGAGCGGTCGAATGGCCGAGGTGATAACATGTCAATCTCGTATGCTCGAGATATTAAGTTTGATTTCTCGCTCGTGAATTTTTTTTGTAATTTTATTTTCATTATTTATTATTCTTATTATTATTAATAATTACATTAATATTAGAAAACAGAGAATTGAGATAAATCAAGATAAAACCATGCCTAAAAATGAAGGATTGCGATCATGAAAAGACTGAACGATAACTGAAAAAGTGAAGTAGTAATAAGGGAGAAAAAAAGGGAAAGTAAGGGTGAGGGGCAAGGGAAAGGAAACTTAGGAAATGGGAAGCAAAGGAGCGGGAGACTTTGAAAAAGCAAGGCATATTTTTATATCTTTTCTCACTCTTGTAAAATAAAGAAAAATAGAGCCCCTTGTACAATACTAGGCAACGGATAATAAGAAATAGTATCTATTCTCTGCTATTCCTATTGGCGAATACTTTCTATTCCGTATTTATTGATAAATAATTTTTATTTCCTATTTCTTTTGCCAGTTGCTAAGCCTGCCTTGTGCAAGGGGCTTTTTCCCGGGCCTACTAAGCCCACTGGGCCCACGTGGTCACGAAAATTTACCCAGGGCTGTCGGTCTTTAAGTATCTTATAGATGGTAGTAGTTGAATCGAGGTCTCACTAAAGTGCTAACATTCGACAAGGAAGAAATTGTGAAGAACACGTGGTGAAGAAGAGTAGTTTTTCATGTACTTTCAACTATTTTTATTATCGTATAAGTGAGTTTCGACTTGATCTTCCGGCGAAGGAAATAATAAGAGCGTTCCAAATAAGTTCTCTACGAGAGAAAAAGAAAAAGAAAAAGCATTTTTTATTTTTCCTTGCCGACACAAAATCGCGTTACTATCATGTCGTTTTCGGGAAAGTTTTATTCTCCGGAAGACATAGAGAAGAGAAATTCAGAAACAACTAACGAAAAAGAGTAAGTATAGCTTTGCTTTTTTCTTCCTTTTCATAAATGTTACTGCTGGGCAATAACAATGTAGAAATAATCACAGACGTCGGCAAGATAATAGGAAAAAATAAAAAGCGTCCGATGACATGAAGTATAATTAAGTTAAATTAAAGTGAATAAACAATTAAACTGAAAATTATCAATTATTTATAGAGATATGCAGAAATATGAGAAGAGAATCTTGCAGTGTATTCTAGCGGAAAAAATAATTCCGATGGATCTTAAACATTGGCCGTTCTTTCATTTGCTAAAGCCGAAATTTATCTCACAAATTCACATGGTTATGTTATATGGTAAAATTTTCCTCTTTTTTATTATCTTTTTTTTCTTTTTTTATCTTTTTTTGCTATGTAATATTGTTACTTATACCATAATATTTTAAAGGTAAGATTGAAAATTGTAATAATGCTATAATTGTGACGAAGGACAAAACTGTTTACAGTTTAAATTATAATAAAGATGAGCATTCAAAGATTGGTGACACACATATTGTTTTCCACTTAAAAAAGATAGAAGAATTGTGTGGGAAAAACATAAAGACATTTGTTCATAGCTTTAGTTTTGTCCTAGCACTTACAGAAGAGGGAGAAGTATATCAAAAAATTCATATTCTTTTGAATGTGTCTTGATGGCATATTTTTTTTTGGAAATAAATTTTAACTTGCTTGAAAGATAAGATTGATATAAAATGAAGTTTTATAGGCTTCTGTATTGTGAATGTTTCTTAGGAAACATGTGGAAATAAAAATTTATACAGTGTGTGAAATCATAATAAAATATACTATATAATAATAAGTGGATAAATTAACACTTTAACCTACAACTACATGTGAGACACGTGGTCTTGTATTCGGGCCAAAACTGATTATCACGGTCCTGGCCCGTGATACATCGGTCGGGCCAAATGTAAATATTACGGGCATGGCCCCTGGTACAATGATCGGGCCAAATGTAAATATCACCTTTTGTTGTATACCTACCACAATTATTACATCAGGTTGTAATTACTTATCAAATATTCCACAAAATTAAACCAGTTGTATCTTACACATGTATTTACATTCCGTTTTGGACCCAGGCTGTTGAAACGTAAATCGTAGGTTAATTAAACTTTATATTAAATAGATAAATTGCTTAGAAGTACAGATATTTGGCCGTAATAATTATTTCAACATACAAATATTTTTAAAATTAAGATATTTAAAATTAAATTATGGGATGTGAAAGATTGTAATGATGTAACTTTATTTTCTCAATAAGAGAAAAAATATGAAAGAAAAATTTGAAAATATCTTATGAACAAAAAAAGCAGAGATTGCAGCACATTTCTAATTCCTTACATGCAATATGATTGTAAAAATTAAAGCAATACACATAGACACACACACACACACATCTTAGTTTCGTAAATATTAAAAATGTGAGAAAACATCCAGTTTTTTCACAACTGTAAAAATGACGAATAAATTTATATATATTTATTAAACAGCAAAGCGTTTAGGGAGAAATAATATAAAACTTCATCCTTAATCTTATCTTTTATAGCAATGTTTTCATACTTAAATGTTTATAACGTTATAAATGTAAAATTAAAGATTCGACAAATTCAAGAAGTACATTTTACGGCTGTGTTATTTTTTAAAGATTTATTTTTGGGAGTTCATGAAACGCGAATCGAATGAGAGATTCGTCGCGTCACCTATTCGTGTCTCTGGATTTAGCACGAAACGTATCGTGGACATTGCATGCGGCAATCATCATTTTCTCGTTTTGACCAGCGATGGAGAAGTAAACAAAAGATTAAATTATCACAACGATAACGATAATAATCATTCTCATAAACTAAACAATTGTTCGTAATTTAGGTATATGCTTGGGAAGACAATATTTATGTGCACGATATTAGAGACATTGCTAATTTTGATGGTAGTGTGAGACAAGTAAATGGATTGGAGAAGAAGAATGTTGTCCGTATCGCGTGTGGTTCATGTTTTAGCATAATTGTAACTGACGAAAATAAATTATACGGTTGGGGCGATAATCGAGGCGGTCAGATTTCAATCTTCCAAACGGAAAAATACATATTCCCACGCGAAATTATCACAATCTCGGATAAAATAGGTAAATTTTGTTAAATTTATGTCTAAGATTTGATTTTTAAGAATGTTACAGTATCGAACATCTTCATGAGAAATTGACATTCTAGTTAAGGTCGTATGCGGATGCATGCATACGTTAGTGCTCACAAATAAAGGAAACGTGTATGCCTGGGGCAATAATTGTGTTGGACAAGTGGGCGTAAATAAAGGCAGGAAACCCTTCGGTCCCATCATGGTAATTTTTAAATAAAAGAAAATTAAAAAACTTTTTAATAATCGCAATAATAATTTTAATAAACATAATAAGTGGAACGAAAAGTGATATAATCAAAAAATGACACAATCAACAGGTGAACGTGCCTCAGATGGGAAAGGTTTTGAATATTGACGCCTTTAATGATATGAGCGTTGCGGTCGGCTATGATGGGACTATCTATGTATGGGGTGTCTTTCATTACAATTATTTTATTTCTATCCCCATGCCCACGAAGTTTTCGAGGATTTTTGAGGCGTTTGCGCACAGTCTGTGGAGAAGCATGCATAAGCCGTTAATTATGCATGATTCTTTACACACTGTGCGAGTTACGAATAATTACAATTACAAGTATATTGAAGAAATATTAAATATATTAGAATCCCTAGGAGCAGCATTTAATGATCCGGTATGTTTCATATTATTGTTTTGTACGTACCTTTTTGCATTATATATAGTAAAATTAAGTATATATAATACATATTTTTATATTAGCTTTGTTGGTTGATTATAAAAAATATAGGGATTTGTAAAAGATTTGTAGATTTTTGTAAAATAGAATTGGAAAATTTTTTCCTATATAGAAAAAAATAAATTCAAATCGTTAATGATTATTTTGATTAGGACTCTAGGTCTCATTCCAGTCATACATTGAATTATTTGTGTGTGTGTGTGTGTGTGTGTGTGTGTGTGTGTGTGTGTGTGTGTGTGTGGTGTTTGGGGTGTGTGTGTGTGTGTGCGTATTGAATTAAGTATTACATATGGAATTAAAAGTGAAAAAGAATAAAGTTATGTATTTTTTTATGATAACTTTTATATTAATCTAATATTATTAAATCATTCAATAATTTTTGTTTTTTAGTTGACGAGCGATCTTACCATACAAGTCAAAGGACAACCTATTTACGTTCACAAGACAATTCTTAATATTCGTTGCCAGTATTTCAGAAACATGTTTCACCATGATTGGTTGGTTGAAGATGTTCAAAGGTAAACATTTAGAAAAGGAGACTGTCTTTTTTATTGAGACTTTTTCAACTTTGGTTATTACATAATGTTGCTTTTTGACAGTACATCGGATCCATCACCAGTATACACCATATCGGATAAATTTTCTTACATCGTTTATAAAGCCTTCTTGAAATACTTGTACACCGGCACAATCGATTTACCTTTGAAGAACACATTAGGTAATTGGGGTTGTAAACATTAGCTATCATAAATTACAATTCAGAAACTGAAACATTGCATTAACTGAAACGACATTTCATTACAGAGCTTATGGAATTGGCCCAGATGTATTGTGAAACCAATCTTAAAAAAGATTGCAGTCAGATAATAAAGCAAACCGTCACTGTGTCAAATGTAGAATTCTTGTATAACAAAGCGATCGCGTATAATGCTAAAGTAAGTATTACAATTCATAGTTAATCGCTATTAATGTTGGAGTTCATTAATTGTAATATATTTATATATGCGTTCGATCGTTGAATATCATATGAATTTTAGGAACTCGAGGAGTTCTGCTCCCAGTTTGCTTTGCATCACAAAACAGATAAGAGATTATCGGAAGATGATAATAAATTAGATATGAGTATTCATTATAATAAATTAGATATGAGTACTCAGGCTAAGTGTACACACAGATCAGCGATAGAAAATGACATTTCTATCATGCCGTCGACATTCCATTCCCCGAATAAAAATGTAGAGAAGAGAAATTCAGAAACAACAACTAAAAAAAAGTAAGTTCGGCGGTCTTGTTTTTCTCTTTCTTTCTATATAAGTCGCTTCTCTTTCTTTCTCTATAAGTCGCTGCTGGGTGATAGTAATGTTGAAATAATCACAGATAATAAGATAATTAAAAATAAGAACCGTGCGATGACATAAAATACAATTAATTCAAAATAATCTGAATGACCAGGCAACTAAACTTAAAGTTACCAATTATTTGTAGTGAGATGCAACAATGTGAGAAGAGAATTTTGCAATGTGTTCTAAGGGAGAAGATAATTTCAGCAGATTTTCAAAGTTGGCCATTCTTTCATTTCCTAAAGTCGGAATTTATCTCACAAATTCACATGGTTATGGTATATAGTAAGAATTTTCGTTTTTTTTCATTGCTTTGTCTTTTTCATTATGTAATATTGTTCCTTATGCCATGGCAATTCTGAAACAGATATCGAAGTTAATGTGACTATAATTGTGACGTTGGACAAAAATGTCTATATCTTATATTATAAAGAGGAATATGCAAAGACTGGTGACATACACACTGCCCTCCCCTTAAAAAAGATAGAAGAATTGTGTGGAAAAAACATAAAGACCTTTGCATACAGTTATAATTTTATCATGGCGCTTACAGAAGAGGGAGAGGTATGTCAGAATTCATATTCCTTGATTGAATAAAATTGATATTAGGAGGTTTTATATCATCCCTAAAGCATTAACTTTTCTGAGGGTTAAAATGAAAATTATTATATACAGTGATGGGAAAAAGTTCCGGGACGGCTGGATAATTTGAAAAATACGCATCACAGAGGAAAATGACCTAGACAAAAGTTGTAGGATTTTTCCCGGGTAATCCGACGGTGACCTTAGATTTGACCTTGGATAGTCATTTGAAGGTCACATAAAGATTACCTTCAATTTCTTAAATGGAACCCCCTATTTTTCATTGCATATTCTTGTAGCTTATCCCGAGAGCTTTCCAAAACACTATAATTAAGTACCTTTCTATTAAGTACTTTTTGAGTTATAAGGCTTGAAATAATTTCTTAATTTTACATAAACCATAAAATATCTAGTAAACCATTCATTTTTCGATTATCTTACCTTCATACTTTTATGTACAAAATAATGAGAGGAATCAATTGGTGTAAAGAAAACACATAGTTGTTTCTAAGAAAAAATATGTAATTTGCAATTAACAATTCCATATTTTTTCTTCTAGGTTCTTTTCTGTCTAGGTCATTTTCCTCTGTGATGCGTATTTTTCAAATTATCCAGCCGTCCCGGAACTTTTTCCCATCACTGTATACACATGTGTGTGAAATCATAATAAAATATAAGATAGATAAATTATAATTAAGAATATATATTAGATAAATAAATTGCTTTGGTTAGAAGAATAGATATTTGGCGATAATATTTATTTTAATATGCAAACATTTTCAAAATTAATATGTGAAAAATTGTAATGGTGTAATTTTTATTTTTTTAATAGAGAAGATATACGAAAATAATTTTGAAAATATCTCTGGATATACAAAAGTAAAAATTGCAGCGCACAATTTTTAATTCTTTACGTTCAATATGGTTGAAAAATTAAAACAATACACACACACACACACACACACACTTAGTTTCATAATATTTTAAAAATGAGAAAACTTTCAATTCTTTTACATGTATCAACATGGCCAATGAATTTATATAAATTTATCAAGTTGAAAAGTACTTAGGATAAAATAATATCAAACTTTATCATGAATTTTTTGTCAAGTCTTTCTAGTAGTGCTTTCGTACTTAAATATTCTAAATGTGATTCAGAAAATCAGATTAAAAAAATGTATTACAACTGCTTTTTTTGAAAGGTTTATTTCTGCGAAATCGAAAAAGGTACCCTTTTCATTCGTGGAAACATATCCTTTATGCGAGTGGCCGACTTAAACGACGAGCGTATCGTAGACATCAGATGCGGATTTTATAATTGTCTCGCTCTGACTAGCCATGGACAGGTAAGTAAAAGATTAAATTATTACAACGGTAACGATAACAGACATTCTTATAAACATTCATATAAACTAAACAATTGTTTGTAATTTAGGTGTATGCTTGGGGAAAATCTATTAATAAGCACATTTATAACGCAGATTTTTTGAATGGTAGTGTGAGGCAAGTAAAACATGAATTGGAGAAGAAGAATATCGTTCATATCGCATGTGGTGAAAAATTCAACATGGCTGTAACTGACGAAAATAAACTTTATGGTTGGGGCATGAACGATAAAGGCCAGATTTCAACCGTACCTTTGCAAGAACAATACGTGCACCCACACGAAATTACCACATTCTCGGATGAAATAGGTAATTTTTTATGTTTGAGATATTTTTCTCTAAAAAAGTTGCAGTATCGTATATCCTCATCATCGCGTTTCAGTTAAATTAGTTTGTGGATATCAGCATACATTGGTGCTAACAAGAAATGGAAAGATCTATGCTTGGGGCAACAACAATTTTGGACAAGTGGGTGTCAATAAAAATCGGAAACTCTCCAGTCCGACTGTGGTAATTCATAAATAAAAATTGAAAACATGAATAAAAATTAAAAAACTATTTAATAATCGCCATGATAAGTGGAACGACACAGGATAATAAGGAAAGATACGATCGACAGGTGAACGTCCCCGAGATGGGAAAGGTTTTGGATATCGCTGCTTATGGTAACTTGAGCGTAGCTGTCGGCAATGATAGGACTATCTACATGTGGGGTCAATTTTATTACAATTATTATACTACTATCCCGTTTCCTACGAAGTTTTCGAACATTTATGACGCGTTTGCGTACAGTTTGTGGAAAATCATGTACAAGCCATTGATTATATTTAAGAATAATTTCAAATATGTTGAAGAAGTATTGAATATATTGGAATCCCTAAGAGCAATATTCGATGACCCGGTATGTCTTATTATTATTCTGTATGCACTTTCTTTATTTTATAGCATAAAACTATATGTGATACATATTTTCATTTTGATTTGGTAGTTAAAATAAAGAATAGAGATTTATAAGAGATTTTTACAGATTTTGTATAAAAGAATTAGGGAAACTTTTTTCTACTAGAAAAAATAAATAGCAATTGTTAATGATTGTTTTGATAAAAACTTCTAGTCTCATCCTAGTTTCAATCCTATATTGAATTATAATATTAAAAGTGAAAAAATAAAATATCTATTTTATGATAATTTTTATATTAATTTAATATTATTATTTAATAATTTGTTCTTCAGTTGACGAATGATCTTACCATACGAGTCGAAGGACGACCTATTTATGTTCACAAGGCTATCCTTAAGATTCGTAGTCAGTATTTTAAAAACATGTTTCAACATGATTGGACTGAAAATATTCAAAGGTAAACTTAGAAAAAACTTATTTAGAATTTCTCAACTTCTTCACTTTGAATTTCTTCACTTTGATTACATAATGACAAATATTGTTTTTTGACAGTATATCGGATTCAATGTACACCGTATCGGATAAATTTTCTTACGTCATTTATAAAGCCTTCTTGAAATATTTGTATACCGGCATAATCGATTTACCTGCGGAGAACGTATTAGGTAATTGAATCTAAACGTAAATTAACACAAATTTACAATTTAGAAACTGAAACGAACCTTTCTTACAGAACTCATGGAATTGGCCAACATGTATTGTGAAACCAATCTTATAAAAGATTGCAGTCAGATAATAAAGAAAGTCATCACTGTGTCAAATGTAGCATTCTTCTTCAATAAGGCGATCGAATGCAATGCTAAGGTAATTATCACAGTTTGGAGTTAATTACTATTAATGTTGGAATTTATTAATTGCAACGTATTTATTTATGTGTGTACAATATATCATCGTATATCATGTGAATTACAGGAACTCGAAGAATTCTGCTTTCAGTTTGCTTTGCGTCACATGGAAGCTGTAGTAGTATCGGAAGAGTTTATTAAATTAGACACGAGTACAAAGGATAATTTTATGCGTAGAGCAGCTAAAGGAAATATTTTCGGTATATGATTCTTTCGACAAAAATTTCGAACGAAATCGCAGATCGTTTTAAATAAACATTGTTCCACTTTACCATTTTATACTTTAAGATAATATTATGTAATATTTTATACTTTAAGATAATATTATGTACATATAAAATATATAATTTTATCTATCAACTTTATTTATCAATTGAGATATTTACAAAATAGATTTAATTATTAAATAATAAATTTGATTAAAAAAAATAGGAAATTTTGTTTCTTATAAGAAATTTTTTTTCTCTTACTAGTGTCTTTTATCAAAAAGTGAAAAAAAGAAGAATCATTAAACATATTAAAATCCATCGAGATTATAAAAGACAGGGAAAAATAATATTAAAAATTTCAATAAGAATATTTACATATAGATTTACATATAGACAATTTTATTCTTATATATAATATACATCTTTTATATACATGCAATATGAAATTATAATTAAAGAATTGATTAGTTGTAATGAAAAGAAGGAATTACAGATTTATTCTAGTTCTTGTCAGTGTCACTCTAGTTGGCATCTTTTTCATTTAAAGTAATTCATTTAATCGAATGGTGACAAAGAAAATTTTTGCGAGTAGACAAAATTGTATAGGTTGTAAATAAATAATAAATAATCGCGATAGAACTTGGTTACTTTCATCTTGGTTAAAACTGTATATATTTAAATCTCTGTCAATTTATATATGCAATTAAGTAAATAAATTAGAGGATTTTATTCGTACATAAATACTAATAGTAACATACACATATATGTTATATATATTTTTTCAATTCAATATGGCAACAAATCGCATGCGAAATATGTACGTTTCTGCCCATACGTTTCTCATGTTGAAATAATATCTCTCTGTTGATTCCTGCATATATATTTTTACATGTGCTCATAATTTTATTCGTTATTTGTGTAAAAATATTCATTTATGCAAAATTCTTTATCTTTACGAAGAAGTAAGCAAACCTCGTCGATTATAAGTGTTTCTACATCCTCTTTCACTCTTGCAGCTAAAGAAGAATAGCATTTTTTGTACTACGTAGGTGGCATCCAATTGACCCTCGTCAATTTTCTAATTCAAAATAACACTCTCTGATTGGTCAATCGTTGCTGGTCACCCTAAGCACAGGTCGATATATTGACTGTGGTCAATCGAAACGTGGTCAAACGAAACGTGCTTGCCATGTTTCTGCGTCGTGATCTAAAATGCATTTGAAAAGATAGGGACTGTGAAGAACACGTGGTGGAGAGGAGTAGTTTTTAATCCATTTTCAATTATTTTTATTATCGTAGTGCATGAGTGCGTTTCGACTTGATCTTTTGGCAAAGAAAGTAATAAATGCATGTCGAATGTGTTATGTTTGAGAGAATAAGAAGAAGATAAAGCATTTTCAACTTCTGCCAACACAAAGACACAAAGACACTTTCTATCATGTCGATTTCATCGAAAAAATTCTGTTCCTCGGAAGAGAAGAGAAATTCAGAAATAACTAACGAAAAAGAGTAAGTATAGCTTTGCTTTTTTCGTCCTTTTCATAAAAGTTACTGCTGGGCAATAACAATGTCGAAATAATCACAGATGCCGGCAAGATAATAGGAAAAAACAAAAAGCGTCCGATGACATGAAGTATAATTAATTCAAATTAAAGTAAATAAGCAATTAAACTGAATTAAAATTATCAACTATTTATAGAGAGATGCAGAAATATGAGAAGAAAATTTTGCAATGCCTTCTAGCGGGAAAGATAATTCCAATGGATCTTAAACATTGGCCGTTCTTTCATCTGCTAAAGCCGGAATTTATTCCAGAAATTCACATGGTTATGCTATATGGTAAAATTACCATTTTTCATTATATTGTCCTTTTGGCTATGTAATATTGTTATTTATATGTTTTATATATATTATATATATTAATATTTTGAAGGTTGTTCTACAGAAGCTATATATATAATTGTGACGAAGGACAAGAATGTTTACAATTTAAATCATAATAAAGATGAGCATTCAAAGATTGGTGACATACATAATGCTTTCCACTTAGAAAAGATAGAAGAATTGTGTGGGAAAAACATAAAGACTTTTGCTTGCAGCTGGAGTTTCGTCCTGGCACTTACAGCAGAGGGAGAGGTATATCAAAGAGTTCATATTTTTTGAAGGGAGAAATAATATCAAATTTTTTAGCAGTGCTTTTATACTTAAATGTAACATTCTAAATATAAAATGAGATTCAAAGAATCAAAAAAATATATTACAACTATACTATTTTTAAAAGGTTTACTACTGGAAATTTGATGAATGGAATTTTATTGAGAGACGGCCTATCAAGTACAAACCTATTCGAGTCTCCGGCTTTAGCAAGAAACGTATCGTGGACATTGCATGCGGCGAATTACATTTTCTCGTTTTGACCAGCGATGGAGAGGTAAGCAAAAGATTAAATTATCACAATGATAACGATAAGAATCATTCTCATAAGCTAAACAATTGTTCGTAATTTAGGTATATGCTTGGGAAGACAATATTTATGCGCACGATATTAGAAACATTGCTAATTTTGATGGTAGTGTGAGACAAGTAAAACATGGATTGGAGAAGAATAATGTTGTTCATATCGCGTGTGGTACAAAATTTAATATGGTTATAACTGACAAAAACAAACTATATAGTTGGGGCAGCAACAAGAAGAGGCAAATTTCAACACACTCAAACACACACTTGCAAGAAGAATACGTATATCCACGCAAAATTATCACATTCTCGGATAAAATAGGTAAATTTTTAAAAATTTATTTCTAAGACTTTATCTGTAAGAATGTTATAGTGTCGAATATCTTCGTGAGAATGACGTTTTAGTTAAATTAGTCTGCGGAGACCAGCATACGTTGGCACTTACAAATAAAGGAAATATCTATGCCTGGGGCAATAACGATTGTGGACAAGTGGGCGTAAATAACAGGATAAAGTCCTCCGATCCGATACTGGTAATTCATGAATGAAAATTAAAAAACTTTTTAATAATCTCCATTCGCTGAACTAGAAATGAATACAATCAACAGGTGAACGTACCTCAGATGGGAAAGATTTTGAATGTTGAGGCCTATAGTAATATTAGCATTGCGGTCGGCTATGATAGATCTATCTATATATGGGGTCAATACAACTTCCATCAAAATATTATCCAACCTTTTCGCACGAAGTTTTCGAGGGTTTTTGACGTGTTGGGTTTTACGTACAATTACTGGAAACGAGTGCACAAGCCATTAATTGTGCATAATTCCGTACACACTATGCGAATTACGAATAATTATAATTATAAGTATACTGAAGAAGTATTAAATATATTAGAATCCCTAGAAGCAGCATTTGATGATCCGGTATGTTTCATATTATTTTTCTGTATGTACTTTTTTGCATTGCATATATACATATATATATATATATATATATATATATATATATATACTCATATATATATATATATATATATATATATAGTAATACACATATAGTACACATATACATATATACACATATACATATATAGTAAAATTAAATATATATGAAACATATTTACATAGGTTTTAGATTGGTTGATTGGTATAAAAGAATATAGATATTTGTAGATCTTTGTAAGAAATAATTGGAAATAATTTAATGTAATTTTATTAAATTATTCAATAATTTTTGTCTTTTAGTTGACCAGTGATTTTATCATACAAGTCGAAGGACAACCTATTTACGTTCACAAGGTTATTATTAATATTCGTTCCCAGCACTTTTTTTTCAGAAACATGTTTCACCATGATTGGGCTGAAGATGTTCAAAGGTAATTATTTAAAAAAGGAAACTGGTTTTTTTATTGATAATTGTTCAACTTTGATTATTACAATGTTGTTTTTTGATAGTACATCGGATTCATTACCAGTATACACCATATCGGATAAATTTTCTTACGTCGTTTATAAAGCCTTCTTGAAATATTTGTATACTGGCACAATCGATTTACCTTTGGACAACGCATTAGGTAATTGGGGTTGTAAACATTAGAGTTATCATAAATTACAGTTCAGAAACTGAATCGCCATTTTATTACAGAGCTTATGGAATTCGCCGAGATGTATTGTGAAACCAATCTTAAAAAAGATTGCAGTCAGATAATAAAGCAAACCGTCACTGTGTCAAATGTAGAATTCTTGTATAATAAAGCGATCGCGTATAATGCTAAAGTAAGTATTACAATTCATAGTTAATCGCTATTAATGTTGGAGTTCATTAATTGTAATATATTTATATATGCGTTCGATCGTTGAATATCATATGAATTTTAGGAACTCGAGGAGTTCTGCTCCCAGTTTGCTTTGCATCACAAGACAGATAAGAGATTATCGGAAGATGATAATAAATTAGATATGAGTACTCAGGCTAAGTTTATACACAGAGCGATACAAAATGACGTTACTATCACATCGTCGACATTCTCTTCCCCGAATCAAAATGTAGAGGAGAGAAATTTAGAAATAACAACTAAAAAAACGTAAGTTTGACGGTATTGTTTTTCTCTTCCTTTTTATATTTTAATTGCTGCTGGGCGATAGCGATGTCGAAATAATCGCAGATATCGACTAAATATGTAAAAGGTGAAAACAAAAAGCGTTCGATGACATGAGGTATAATTAATTCAAATTAAAATTAATAAGCAAAACTAAACCGAAAGTTATCAACTATTTATAGAGAGATGCTGAAAGATGAGAAAAGATTCTTGCAGTGCGTTCTAGCGGAAAAGATAATTCCAATAGATCTTAAACGTTGGCTGTTTTTTCATGTGCTAAAGCCGGAATTTATCCCACAAATTTACATGGTTATGGTGTATCGTAAGATTTATCCGTTTTTTTTTATTCTTTTTGTCTTTTTCATTATGTGATATTATTCCTTATGCCATGGCAATTTGAAACAGATAATGGTAAAGGGGTTATAATTGTGACGAAGTACAAGAATGTCTACAGCTTAGATTATAAAGAGTATTTGAAGAGTGGTGACACACTCACTGCTCAATTTTTAAAAGAGATAAAAGAATTGCATGGAAAAAACATAAAGACCTTTGCACATAGTTATAAGTTTATCCTGGCACTTACAGAAGAGGGAGAGGTATGTCAAAATTTATATTCCTTGAATAAATAAAATTGATATTAGGAGATTTTATATCATCCCTAAAGCATGAACTTTTTTTAGGGTGTAAGTAAAGATGAAAATTATTATATATACGCATGTGTGTGAAATCATAATAAAATATAAGTAGATAAATTATAATTAAGAATACATCTTAAATAAATAAATTGCTTTGAATTAGAAGAAGATATTTGGTCATAATATTGTTACGCCCGCGGCGAGGGTTTCGATAGATATGAAGGCACGTTAAAGAGTTCAGCCGCTCGCGAGACGCGCTAAATAAATAAACACTTTTAAAAGCAACTAAGAACTTTAATGTACAATACAGAACACAGAAGCATAACCACAGAACGTTAACACACAATAATAATAACACGGATCGGCTCGATACAAATACGCGATCGCACAGCTTGACAGCTGGCTCCAGACTCGAATGACAGACGCTGTCAACAACTTCTTGACAACCAGATGTTCTTGTTAATCGGCGCCGTCCCGATGAACACGGACATCAGAGGCGTAACAATATTTATTTCAATATGCAAATATTGAATTTTTATTTCAATATGCAAATATTGAATTTTTAAAATTAAAATATGAGAGATTGTAATGATATAATTTTTTTATGTTCTTAATAAGATAAAAAATACAAAAAAAATTTTAAATATCTATAATGGACATATAAAAACTGATATTGCAGCACATAATTTTTAAGTCTTTACTTTTAATTCTTCAATATGGTTGTAAAAATGAAAGCATTACACACATACACACTTAGTTTCATAATATTTTAAAAGTGGGAGAAAACTTTGAATTCTTTTATATGTATCAACATGTTCAATGAATTTGTATAAATTTATCATGTTGAATAGTACTTAGGATGAAACAATATCAAACTTTATCATGAATTTTTTGCCAAGTCTTTTCAAGTAGTGCTTTCATACTTAAATATTCTAAATGTGATTCAGTAAATTAGATCAAAATATAAAATATGATTAAATATAAAAAATGTATTACATTTATGCTATTTTTGAAAGGTTTATCTCTGCCATATCATGGAAAAAGCCATTTTCAATTGTTACATTCCTGATGTATCAACATTTATTCGAGTCGCTGGCTTAAGCGACAAGTATATCGTGGACATTGGATGTGGAAATTATCAACTTCTTGTTTTGACCAGCGATGGAGAAGTAAGCAAAAGATTAAATTATCACAATAATAACAATGATAATCTCATAAACTAAACAATTGTATGTTATTTAGGTGTATGCTTGGGGAACAAAAAATTGGGAAAAAATTGAAAGATATCATTCGGAAGAAAGTGATTCGGAAGAAAGTGATTCGGAAGAAAGTGATAATCAAGAAAACATAGTTTATTTTAATAGTGTGCCGTGGCAGGTGAAACATGAATTGGAGAAAAAGAAAGTTGTTCACATCGCGTGTGGTTTAAATTTCAACATAGTTGTTACTGACGAAAACAAAATATACGGTTGGGGTAATAACAAGATCGGCCAGATTTCAATCATCCAGGCACAAAAACATTACGAATATCCACGCAAAATTATCACCCTCTCGAATAAAATAGGTAAATTTTTTAAAAATTTATATGTGAGATTTGATCTTTAAGAAAGTTGCAGTATCGAACATCCTCATAATTACGTTTCAGTTAAACTTACCTGTGGATCTCAGCATACATTGGCGCTTACAAATAAAGGAGAAGTCTATGCTTGGGGCGATAACAGTGACGGACAAGTGGGCGTAAATAACAATTGCAAACCCTCCGGTCCGACCATGGTAATTTATAGATTATTGATAAAAAACTTTCTAATAATTGCTATGATGGAGTGGAACGAGGAATAATAAGGAAAGATATGATCGACAGGTGAACGTCCCCGAGATGGGAAAGGTTTTGGATATCGCTGCTTATAATGAAACGAGTGTTGCCGTCAGCTATGATAAGATTATCTTTGTGTGGGGTGACTTTTATTACGAAAAAATTACTATCCCGTTTCCTACGAAGTTTTCGAGCATTCATGACGCGTTTTCGTATAGTATGTGGAGATGTATGCACAAGCCATTGATTGTATTTAAGAATAGTTCCAAATATGTTGAAGAAGTATTAGATATATTGGAATTCCTAGAAGAAATATTTGATGATCCGGTATGTTTCATTATTATTATGTATTATCATTTTTTTTTATTATGTAGTATAAAGCTGTATCTAATACATATTTTCATTTTAATGTGATTGGTATGAAAGAATAGAGATTTATAAGAGATTTATAGATTTATAGATTTTGTAAGAAGGAATTATAATTCTTTTTCTATTGAAAATATAAATTGCAATCGTTTCAATGATTGTTTCGATTAAAACTTCTGGTCTCAATACGGTATAAATATATTGAATTATAACATTAAAAGTAAAAAATTACCTATTTTTATGATAATATTTATATTAATCTATAATATTATTATTTAATAATTTGTTCTTCAGTTGACGAAAGATCTTACCATACGAGTCGAAGGACGACCTATTTATGTTCATAAGGCTATCCTTAAGATTCGTTGTCAGTATTTTAAAAACATGTTTCAACATGATTGGACTGAAAATATTCAAAGGTAAACTTTAGAAAAGAATTATTTAGAATTTCTCAACTTTGGTTACATAATGACAAACATTGTTTTTTGACAGCATATCAAATTCAGTGTACAACGTATCGGATAAATTTTCTTACGTCGTTTATAAAGCCTTCTTGAAATATTTATATACCGGCATAATCGATTTACCTTCGGAAAACGCATTAGGTAATTGAAACTGTAACCGTAAATAATTACAAATTTACAATTCAGAAACTGAAACGACATATCATTACAGAACTTATGGAATTGGCCGACATGTACTGTGAAACCAATCTTATAAAAGATTGCAGTCAGATAATAAAGAAAATCATCACTGTGTCAAATGTAGCCTTCTTCTACAATAAGGCAATCGAATGCAATGCTAAGGTAATTACCACAGTTTGGAGTTAATTATTATTACTGTTAGAATTTATTAATTGCAATGTATTTATTTATGTGCGTACAATATATCATCGAATATCATGTGAATTACAGGAACTCGAGGAATTCTGCTTCCAGTTTGCTTTGCGTCACGTGGAAGCTGTAGTACTATCGGAAGAATTTATTAAGTTAGATACGAGTACAAAGGATAATTTTATGCGCAGAGTAGCTAAAGGAAATATTTTCGATATATGATTCTTTCGACAAAAGTTTCGAACTAAATCGCAGATCGTTTTAGATTCCTATACATGCATCAATGAAGTTATACAAGTCCAATAAACATTGTTCCACTTACCATTTTATACTTTAAGATAATATTACGTAATATACATATAAAATATATAATTTTATCTATCAATTTTATCTATCAATTTTATTTATCAATTGAGATATTTACAAAATAGATTTAATTATTAAATAATAAATTTGATTAAAAAAAATAGGAAATTTTGTTTCTCATAAGAAACTTTTTTTCTCTCACTAGTGTCTTTTATCAAAAAGTGAAAAAAAGAAGATTTATTAAAAATATTAAAATCCATCGAGATTATAAAAGACAAGGAAAAATAATATTAAAAATTTCAATAAGAATATCACTTACAGTATAGATAATTTTATTCTTATATATAATATAGATCTTTTATATACATGCAATATGTAATTATAATTAAAGAATTGATTAGTTGTAATGAAAAAAAGGAATTACAGATTCATTCTAGTTCTTGTCAGTGTTGCTCTAGTTGGCATCTTTTTCATTTAAAGTAATTCATTTAATCGGATGGTGACAAAGAAAATTTTTGCGAGTAGACAAAATTGTATAGGTTGTAAATAAATATAAATAATAAATAATCGCGATAGAACTTGGTTACTTACATCTTGGTTAAAACTTTATATATTTAAATCTCTGTCAATTTATATATGCAATTAAGTAAATAAATTAGAGGATTTTATTTGTACATAAATACTAATAGTAACATACACATATATGTTATATATATTTTTTCAATTCAATATGGCAACAAATCGCATGCGAAATATGTACGTTTCTGCCCGTACGTTTCTCATGTTAAAATAATATCTCTCTGTTGATTCCTGCATATATATTTTTACATGTGCTCATAATTTTATTCGTTATTTGTGTAAAAATATTCATGTATGCAAAATTCTTTATCTTTACGAAGAAGTAAGCAAACCTCGTCGATTATAAGTGTTTCTACATCCCCTTTCACTCTTGCAGCTAAAGAAGAATAGTATTTTTTGTACTACGTGGGTGGCATCCAATTGACCCTCGTCAATTTTCTAATTCAAAATAACACTCTCTGATTGGTCAATCGTTGCTGGTCACCCTAAGCACAGGTCGATATATTGACTGTGTCAATCGAAACGTCGTCAAACGAGACGTTCTCGTCATGTTCTGCTTCGTGATCTCTCTAAAATACATGTGAAAAGAGAGGAACTGTGAAGAACACGTGGTGGAGAGGAGTAGTTTTTTTTCATTTTCAATTATTTTTATTATCGTATGAGTGCGTTTCGACTTGATCTTTTGGCGAAGAAAGTAATAAATGCATATTGAATCTCTTATGTTTGAGAGAATAAGAAGAAGAGAAAGTATTTTCAACTTCTGCCAATACAAAGTCACTTTCTATCATGTCGATTTCATCGAAAAAATTCTGTTCCTCGGAAGATATAGAGAAGAGAAATTCAGAAACAACTAACGAAAAAGAGTAAGTATAGCTTTGCTTTTTAATAACAATGTAGAAATAATCACAGATGCCGGGAAGATAATAGGAAAAAACAAAAAGCGTCCGATGACATGAAGTATAATTAATTCAAATTAAAGTGAATAAACAATTAAACTGAAAATTATCAACTATTTATAGAGATATGCAGAAATATGAAAAGAGAATTTTGCAATGCCTTCTAGCGGAAAACATAATTCCAATGGATCTTAAACATTGGCCGTTCTTTCATTTCCTAAAGCCGGAATTTATCCGACAAATCCATATGATTATGGTAGATGGTAAAATTTACCACTTTTTATTGTATTGTTTTTTTGGCTATATAATATTGTTACGTATATATATATATATATATATATATATATATATATATATATATCATAATATTTTAATAGACAATAGACCTGTAATTGTGACGAAGGACAAGAATGTTTACATTTCAAATTATAATAAAGATGAGTATTCAAAGATTGGTGACATACATATTGCTTTCCACTTAAAAAAGATAGAAGAATTGTGTGGGAAAGACATAAAGACTTTTGCTTGCAGCTGTAGTTTCGTCCTGGCACTTACAGCAGAGGGAGAGGTATATCAAAGAGTTCATATTCTTTGAAGGGAGAAATAATATCAAACTTTTTAGCAGTGCTTTCATACTTAAATGTAATATTCTAAATATAAAATGGGATTGAAAGAATAAAAAAATATATTATTACAATTATACTATTTTTAAAAGGTTTACTTCTGGGAATTTGATGAATGCAGTTTTATTGAGAGATGGCCTGTCAAGTCCACACTTATTCGAGTCTCCGGCTTTAGCAAGAAACGTATCGTGGACATTGCATGCGGCGATTTTCATTTTCTCGTTTTGACCAGCGATGGAGAGGTAAGCAAAAGATTAAATTATCACAATGATAACGATAAGAATTATTCTCATAAGCTAAACAATTGTTTGTAATTTAGGTGTATACTTGGGGAAACAATATTTCTATGGAGGATGGTAATAGAAACACAGCTATTTTTAATGGTAATGTGAGACAAGTAAAACATGGATTGGAGAAGAAGAATGTTGTTCATATCGCGTGTGGTAAAGAATTTAATATGGTTATAACTGACAAAAACAAACTATATGGTTGGGGCGGGAACAAGCAGTGGCAGATTTCACCACACTCAAACATAGACTCGCAAGGAGAATACGTATACCCACGCGAAATTATCACATTCCCGGATAAAATAGGTAAACTTTTTATAAATTTATTTCCGAGATTTGGCCTCTAGGAATATTACAATATCGATCATCTTCATGAGAGATTGTTGATGTTTTAGTTAAGATGGTCTGCGGATCCTGGCATACCTTAGCGCTCTCAAATAAAGGAGAGATCTATGCCTGGGGCGGTAACAATTATGGACAAGTGGGCATAAATAACAAGATAAAGTCCTCCGATCCAATCGTGGTATTTCATGAATAAAAATTAAAAAACTTTTTAATTATCGCTATCCTCTGAGTGGAACTAGAAATGAATACAATCAACAGGTGAACGTGCCTCAGATGGGAAAGGTTTTGAATGTTGATGCCTGTGGTGAAATTAGCGTTGCTGTCGGCTATGATAGATCTATCTATGTATGGGGTGGTTACTTCCATCAAAATATTATCCAACCTTTTCGCACGAAGTTTTCGAGGGTTTTTGACGTGTTTGCGCACAGTATGCAGAGATGCATGCACAAGCCATTAATTGTGCATGATTCCGTACACACTGTGCGAATTACGAATAATTATAATTACAAGCATACTGAGAAAGTATTAAATATATTAGAATCCCTAGAAGCAGCATTCGATGATCCGGTATGTTTCATATTATTTTTTTGTATGAACTTTTTTGCATTACATTTATACATATACATATATATGTACACACACACACACACACACACACACACACACACACACACATATATATATATATAGTAAAATTAAATATATATAAAATACATATTTACATAGGTTTTAGCTTGGTTGGTTGATATAAAAAATATAGTATATTTGTACATTTTTGTAAGAAATAATTGGAAATAATTTAATGTAATCTCATTAAATTATTCAATAATTTTTGTCCTTCAGTTTACGAGCGATTTTACCATACAAGTCGAAGGACAACCTATTTATGTTCACAAGGATATTCTTAATATTCGTTGCCGATGTTTTTTCGACAGTATATCGGATTCATCACCAGTATACACCATATCGGATAAATTTTCTTACGTCGTTTATAAAGCCTTCTTGAAATACTTGTATAGCGGCACAATCGATTTACCTTTGGACAACGCATTTGGTAATTGGGGTTGTAAACATTAGAGTTATCATAAATTACAACTTAGAAACTGAAGCTACATTTCATTACAGAGCTTATGGAATTGGCCGACATGTATTGTGAAACTAATCTTAAAAAAAATTGTAGTCAGATAATAAAGCAAACCATCACTGTGTCAAATGTAGGATTCTTCTACAATAAAGCGATCGAATACGATGCTAAGGTAAGTACTACAATTCAGATTTAATCGCTATTAATGTTGGAATTTATTAATTGCAATATTTATTCATGTGTACAATATATCGTTGAATATCATGTGAATTTTAGGAACTCGAAGAGTTCTGCTTCCAGTTTATTTGGCATCACACGACAGCTAACGCATATTCGGAAGATTATATTAAATTAGATGGGAGTACTCAGGCTAAGTTTATACACAGAGCGATACAAAATGACGTTACTATCACATCGTCGACATTCCCTTCCCCGAATCAAAATGTAGAGAGAAATTTAGAAATAATAACTAAAAAAAGGTAAGTTTGACGGTGTTGTTTTTTTTTCCTTTTTATATTTTAATTGTTGCTGGGCGATAGCGATGTCGACATAATCGCAGATATCGACTAAATAATAGGTGAAAACAAAAAGCGTTCTATGACATGAGATATAATTAATTCAAATTAAAGTGAATAAGCAAAACTAAACTGAAAGTTGTCGACTATTTATAGAGAGATGCAGAAATATGAGAAGAGAATCTTGCAGTGCGTTCTAGCGGAAAAGATAATTCCAATAGATCTTAATCGTTGGCTGTTCTTTCATGTGTTAAAGCCGGAATTTATCCCACAAATTCACATGGTTATGGTTTATGGTAAGATTTATCTCTTTTTTTTTCTTTTCATTGTATTGTCTTTTTCATTATGTGATATTATTCCTTATGCTATGGCAATTTGAAACAGATAATGGTAATGGTAATGGAGTTATAATTGTGACGTTGGACAAAAATGTCTACAGCTTAGATTATAAAGAGGAGTATTCAGAGACTGGTGACATACACACTGCCGTCCCCTTAAAAAAGATAGAAGAATTGTGTGGAAAAAACATAAAGACCTTTGCATACAGTTATAGTTTTATCCTGGCGCTTACAGAAGAGGGAGAGGTATGTCAGAGTTTATATTTCTTGAATGAATAAAATTGATATTAGGAGGTTTTATATCATCCCTAAAGCATGAACTTTTCTTAGGGTGAAAATGAAAATTATTATATATACACATGTGTGTGAAATCATAATAAAATATAAGATAGATAAATTATAATTAAGAATATATATTAGATAAATAAATTGCTTTGGTTAGAAGAATAGATATTTGGCCATAATATTTATTTTAATCTGCAAACATTTTCAAAATTAATATGTGAAAAATTGTAATGGTGTAATTTTTATTATTTTAATAGAGAAGAAATACAAAAATAATTTTGAAAATATCTCTGGATATACAAAAGTAAAGATTGCAGCGCACAATTTTTAATTCTTTACGTTCAATATGGTTGAAAAATTAAAACAATACACACACACACACTTAGTTTCATAATATTTTAAAAATGAAAAAACTTTCAATTCTTTTACAAGTATCAACATGGCCAATAAATTTATATAAATTTATCAAGTTGAAAAGTACTTAGGATAAAATAATATCAAACTTTATCATGAATTTTTTGTCAAGTCTTTTCAAGTAGTGCTTTCATTCTAAATGTGATTCAGTAAATCAGATCAAAATATAAAATATGATTAAATATAAAAAATGTATTACAGCTATGATATTTTTTAAAGGTTTATTTCTGCGAAATCGCGGATAAGACCATTTTCATTCGTAACATTCCTGATGTATCAACATTTATTCGAGTCACCGACTTAAGCGACAAGCGTATCGTGGATATTGCATGCGGCAATCATCAACTTCTCGTTTTAACCAGCGATGGAAAGGTAAGTAAAAGATTAAACTATCACAATGATAACGATAATAATCATTCTCATAAACTAAACAATTATTTGTTATTTAGGTGTATGCTTGGGGAAAAAAGAATTGGGAAAAATTTGATTCGGTAGTACGTAAATTGGTTGATTGGAGAAAAACTTTTAGCCGGGTTGATAACGAAAGCACAGCTTATTTTAGTGTGCCCAGGCAGGTAAAACATGAATTGGAGGAGAAGAAAGTTGTCCATATCGCGTGTGGTTTAAATTTTAACATAATTGTTACTGACGAAAACAAAATATATGGTTGGGGTAATAACGAGATCGGCCAAATTTCAATCGTCCAAGCGCAAAAACATTACGTACACCCACGCAAAATTATCACACTTTCGAATAAAATAGGTAAATTTTTTAAAAATTTATATGTGAGATTTGATCTCTAAGAATGTTACAGTTTCGAACATCTTCATGAGAGGTTGACGTTTTAGTTAAGGTGGTCTGCGGAGTCGGGCATACGTTGGCTCTCACAAATAAAGGAGAAGTCTATGCTTGGGGCGATAACTTTCATGGACAAGTAGGTGTAAAAAACAACCGCACATCCTCCGGTCCGACCGTGGTAATTTCTGGATTATTAATAAAAAACGTTCTAATAATTGCTATGATGAGTGAGAACGAGGAATAATAAGGAAAGATATGATCGACAGGTGAACGTTCCCGAGATGGGAAAGGTTTTGGATATCGCTGCTTATAATAACATGAGCGTTGCCGTCAGCTATGATAAGATTATCTTTGTATGGGGTTTCTTTTATTACAAAACATTTAGTACCCCATTTCCTACGAAGTTTCCGAACATTCATGACGCGTTTTCGTATAGTCCGTGGAGATGTATGCACAAGCCATTGATTGTATTTATGAATAATTCCAAATATGTTGAGGAAGTATTAAATATGTTGAAATTCTTAGGAGAAATATTTGATGATCCGGTATGTTTCATTATTATTATGTATTATTATTTTTTTTATTATGTAGCATAAAGCTATATGTAATACATATTTTTATTTTAATGTGGTTGGTATAAAAGAATAGATATATAAGAGATTTATAGATTTTGTAAGAAGGAATTAGAATTCTTTTTCTACTAGAAAATATAAATTGTAATCGTTTTAATGATTGTGTTGATTAAAATTTCTAGTCTCAACGCAGTCATATATTGAATTATAACATTAAAAGTGAAAAATTATCTATTTTTATGATAATTTTTATATTAATCTAATATTATTTAATAATTTGTTCTTCAGTTGACGAAAGATCTTACCATACGAGTCGAAGGACGACCTATTTATGTTCACAAGGCTATCCTTAAGATTCGTTGTCAATATTTTAAAAACATGTTTCAACATGATTGGATTGAAAATATTCAAAGGTAAACTTAGAAAAGAATTATTTAGAATTTCTCAACTTTGGTTACATAATAACAAACATTGTTTTTTAACAGCATATCAGATTCGGTGTACACGGTATCAGAGAAATTTTCTTATGTCGTTTATAAAGCCTTCTTGAAATATTTATATACCGGCAAAATCGATTTACCTTCGGAAAACGCATTAGGTAATTAAAGTTGTAAACGTAAATTATTACATATTTACAATTCAGAAACTAAAACGACATTTTATTACAGAACTTATGGAATTGGCCGACATGTACTGTGAAACCAATCTTGTAAAAGATTGCAGTCAGATAATAAAGAAAATCATCACTGTATCAAATGTAGCCTTCTTCTACAATAAGGCGATCGAATGCAATGCTAAGGTAATTACCACAGTTCGGAGTTAATTAATATTACTGTTGGAATTTATTAATTGCAATGTATCTATTTATGTGCGTGTAATATATCATCGAATATCATGTGAATTACAGGAACTTGAAGAATTCTGCTTCCAGTTTGCTTTGCGTCACATGGAAGCTGTAGTACTATCGGAAGAGTTTATTAAGTTAGATACGAGTACAAAGGATAATTTTATGCGTAAAGCAGCTAAAGGAAATACTTTCGGAATATGATTCTTTTGACATAAGTTTCGAGCTAAATTGCAGATCGTATTCTTATACATGCATTAATGATGCTATGCATATCGTATAAAGTAAACTTTCAGTTACCATAGTTTAACATAAAATATTACGTAATATAAATATACAATATATAATTTTATCTTTCAACTTTATCAATTGAGGTATTTATAAATTGATTGAATTATTTAATAATAATAATTATTTAATAATAATAAATTTGATAAAAAGAAATAAGAAATTTCATGTTTCATATAAAATTGTTTTCTCTCATTAGTATGAATGAATGAATATATATAAGGAGAAGAATCACTAAAAATATTAAAATTCATCGAGATTATAAAAAGGAAAAAGAAATAAAGGAAAAAAAAAATAAAAAGGAAAAAGAATGTTGAAAATTTCAATAAGAAAATCATTTACAGTCTAGATAATTTTATTGTAATATAGATCTTACATATATATGCAATAAGTAATTATAATTAAGGAATTTATTAGTTGTAATGAAAAGAAAAAATTATAGATTTATTCTAGTTCGTGTCAGTGTCGTCCTAGTTAGCATATTTTTGATTTAAAGTAATTCATTTAATGGGATGGCGATAAAGAAAATTTTTGCGAGCAAACAAAATTGTATAGGTGTAAATGAACGCGATGAATCTTGGTTATAAGCTTTATATACTTAAATCTCTGTCAATTTATACATGCAATTAAGAAAATAAAATTAGAGGATTTAATTCATCAATACATACTAATAAGAGCATATAAATAAATAATATATATATATATATATATATATATATATATATATATACAGGGTGTATCTTAAAAAGCTCCCACTAAGCTAATAGCATTATTCCTGATTAAAAACCGAGTCGAAAAGTCCTGAACCATTTTTTCCATAATGCTTAATAAAGCAGTAATTAATAAGTAAAGTCGCGCCAATAAAAAGACAAACTTTCTCGTTATCAACATAGAAGATTTGAATAAGCAAAAAAATAAACTGTTTTGTATTAATTTTTAAACAATTTATCTTTTCAGAAATCTTTTTAATACTTAAATCTGATTAATTATTTAATGAATCTTGGAAAAAAGAATCAGGACTTTTCGACTCGATTTTTAATCAGGAATAACGTTATTTGCTTAGTGGGAGTTTTTTAAGATGCACCCTGTATATTACATATATTTTTTCAGTTCAATATGCAACAAATTACAAGTACGTTTCTGCCCGTAAGTACCTCAAGTTGGAATAATATCTCTCTGTTGATTCCTGCATATATATTTTTACATGGACGTGCATTTTTATTCGTTATTCGTATAAAAGTATTCACTTGTTCGAAATTCTTAATCTTTCCGAAAAAGTAAGCGAAACTCGTCGAGTTAAAGTGTTTATACATCCCCCTTTGTTCTTCCAGATTTTTTGTATCACGTGATTGCATTATGATCTCCCTAAGGGCGCATTCAGATTTTGCCAGAAAAGCGGAAAAAAGAAAAGCAAAAGCCAATCAAAAATGAGCAGATTGTACTGCTTACTACCAGTACGATTTGTGATTGGCTTCTGCTTGTCAGTTTTCCGCTTTTCTGCCAAAGTCTGAATGCGTCCTAAAGCAACATTCGACAAGGAAGGAACTGTGAAAAACGTGGTGCAGAGGTGTAGCTTTTCATTCATTTTCAATTCTTTTTATTATCGTATGAGTGCGTTTCGACTTGATCTTTCTGCGAAGGAAATAATAAGAGCGTTTCGAATGAGTTCTATTTGAGAGAAAAAGAAGAAGAAAAGGTATTTTTCAACTCGTGCCGACACAAAGTCGTGTTTCTATCATGTCGACTTCATCGAAAAAATTCTGTACTCCCGAAGATATAAAGAACAGAAATTCAGAAACAACTAACGAAAAAGAGTAAGTTTGATAGCTTTGCTTTTTTCTCTCTTTTCACAAGTTACTAATAGGCGATAGCGATGTCGAAATAATAGCAGATGTCGGTAAAATAATAGATGAAAATAATTAGGAACCGTGCGATAACATGAAATACAACTAATTCAATTCAAAATAAATGAGGTAACTAAATTTAAAGTTATTAAATTATTTGTAGTGAGATGCAAAAATATGAGAAGAGAATCTTGCAATGCGTTCTAGCGGAAAAGATAACTCCAATAGATCTTAAACATTGGCCATTCTTTCATGTGCTAAAACCGGAATTTATCCGACAAATCCACATGATTAAGATATATGGTAAAATTTACTACTTTTCATTGTACTGATTTTTTGGCTATGTAATATTGTTACATATATATATATATATATATATATATATATATATATCATAATATTTTAATAGGTTCTAGTAGAGCTGTAATTGTGACGAAGGACAAGAATGTATACAGTTTAGATAATAAGAAAGATGATTGTTCGAAGATTAGTGACATACATATTTCTCCCTTAAAACAGATGGAAGAATTTTATGGAAAAAACATAAAGACTTTTGTTCGTAACTGTTATTTCATCCTGGTACTTACAGAAGAGGGAGAGGTATATTAAAGAGTTTATATTCTTTAAATGTATCTTGATGGCATATTTTTGGGAATAAATTTTAACTTGCTTGAAAGATAAGATTGATATAGAATAAGGTTTTATAATTTTATGAATTGTAAGCGTTTCTTAAGAGAAATAAGTGGAAATAAAAATTTGAACATATGTACATGTGTGTGAAATCAAAATATACTATAGAAAAATAAGTAAATTAAGTAATTAAAATTTTTAATAAACAAAGAAATTGCTTAGAAGTACAGATATTTGGCCATAATAGTTATTGCAACATACACATATTTTTAAAATTAAGATATTTCAAATTAAATTATGGGATGCGAAAGATTGTAATAATGTAACTTTTGTTTTCTTAATAAGAGAATAAATATAAAAATAAATTTGAAAATATCTTATTAACAAAGAAAGCAGAGATTGCAGCACATTTTCCATTTTTTACATTCAATGTGATTGTAAAAGTTAAAGCAATACACACACGCACATACTTAGTTTGATAATATATTAAAAATGTGAGAAAACATTTAGTTTTTTTATAAGTATAAAAACATGGCCAATAACATAAATTTATTAAAGGGTTATACCTAGTTAGAAAGTCGAAAAAAACGTATTTTTGGGAAATAAAAAAAAAACTGTTAGGTATTTTTATTTCATCGATTCTTTGTCATAATATATATCTATCAAAGAAGTTTTCATAATTTTTTCAATTAAAAATATCGAGAAATGTAGCTATTTTCCAGAGACATCTTTTTTCGGAGGCACTTGGCGGTGAGCAAGATTACTCGGAGCTGTATCATCTGAAATCAAAAATTCAAAAGAATTTAACTTTCGTATGAATTGATCTAGTTCGTGAACGAAGGATTTTACAAAAAATTGATTTTTGATAATGTGACAGACGTTTGACGCAAAAATACGAATTTTTTGTGTTAAAACTTTTCGTTCTTTTGTTAATAAAAAAAAGGTTTCATCAAAATTAAAATCCCTTCGTTCACGAAATAGATCAATTCATACGAAAGCTAAATTCTTTCGAATTTTTTATTTCAGATGATTCAGTTCCGAGTAATCTTGCTCACCGTCAAGTGCCTCCAAAAAAGATGTCTCTGGTAAATAGCTACTGTGCCTACATTTCTTGATATTTCTAACTGAAAAAATTATGAAAACTCCTTTGATAGATATATATTATGATAAAGAATCGATAAAATAAAAATACCTAACAGTTTTTTCAAATTCTTCAAAAATACGTTTTTTTCGACTTGCTGACTAGGTATAACCCCTTAAATAGAAAAGCATTTAGGGAGAAATAATATCAAACTTTATTTTTAAACTTCTGTTAAGTCTTTTTTAGCAGTGCTTTCATACTTAAATGTAACATTCTAAATATAAAATGAGATACAAAAAATCAAAAAATGTATTACAACTATACCATTTTTAAAAGATTTATTCCTGGAAATGCGGTAAACGCAGTTTATTTAAAAGAGGGCCTGAAAAGTTCACACCTATTCGAGTCTCCGGCTTTAGTAAAAAACGTATCCTGGACATTGCATGCGGACAGCTTCATTGTCTCGCTCTGACTAGTGATGGAGAGGTAAATAAAAAATTATATTATCACAATAATAACGATAAGAATCATTCTCATAAGCTAAACAATAGTTTGTAATTTAGGTGTATGCTTGGGAAGACAATATTATTTATATACAGAATAATATTGAAAACGCTGCTATTTATGATGGTCGTGTCAAACAAGTAAAACACGGATTAGAGAAGAAGAATGTTGTTCATATCGCGTGTGGTTCACGTTTCAGCATAGTTGTAACTGACAAAAATGAATTATTCGGTTGGGGCGATAACCGAGACGGCCAAATCTGTTCAATCTTCCAAGCGGAAAAATATTACGTATACCCACGCAAAATTATCACATTCTCGGATAAAATAAGTAAATTTTTTAAAATGTATTTCTATGATTTTATCTCTAAGAATGTTACACTATCGAACATCTTTATGAGAGAATAACGTTTTAGTTAAGATAGTCTGCGGATACAACCATACGTTGGCGCTCACAAATAAAGGAGAAGTCTATGCGTGGGGCGTTAACTTTCATGGACAAGTAGGTGTAAATAACAACCGCACATCCTCCGATCCGATACTGGTAATTCATGAACGAAAATTAAAAAACATTAATAATCGCCATGCGTCGAGTGGAATGAAAAATAATGCAATAAAGAATGATTAATCAACAGGTGAACGTGCCTCAAATGGGAAAAGTTTTAAATGTTGACGCCTGTCGTAATGTGAGTGTTGCCGTCGGCTATGATAGGACTGTCTATGTATGGGGTTCCTACTTCTGTCAAAATATTACCCAACCTTTTCCCACGAAATTTTCGAGGATTTTTGATGTGTTTGCGCACAATAAAACGTTCGAAGACAAACCATTGATTGTGCATGATTCTTTACACACTGTGCGAATTACGAATAATAACAATTACAAGTATATTGAAGAAATATTAGAATCCCTAGGAGCAGCATTTGATGATCCGGTATGTTTATTTTTATTTTATATGTACTTTTTTGAATTATATAGCATAAAAGTAAATATATATTTATATATATAATACATATTTTCATATTAGCTTGGTTGATTCCTAGGTAGCAAGCACAGTCATTTTGACGTTTCAAGTTGGTCATTCACTGACTATTCGTCACGAGTTGACGTTTTTATGACGTAGAAATGACGATCTAATGTTAGATTCTTGATGTTATGACATAATCGCATTTTGACATCATAAAATGTACCATATTTTGGCATCTTTTTCTTAGCATAACATTATATTTAATAGCGTTGTCGAGTAAAGCAGATTGTGCGATTCGAGAACATTATTGAACAATTACAGCCAATCTATTCTTCATAGGAATCTCGGATCGATTTTATTGCTTTATTTGAAAACGCTGGAAAACACAAATATGGAAATAGGTTACAAGTTTCATATTTATTATTATTATTTTAAATTAACCTTAAACATAAATAAAGAAACTTACTTCTAATATCATATGAAATGTCAACAAATAATGTCTTCCATTGCCGGCGTTTTATAAAAATATATTTTGCTAATCAACTGTATTATAAAAGAATATGTATATTTTTTGACACTTTAATTATAGTCGATTGATATAGCTAATATTTTCACTGTGCACTAATTCAATGAACACTTGAGTTAAGCAATATGAGTCGTGCACAGATCGATGCATGCGTCGAAAGAAAAATTATTAAGTCTGATCGCGAAAGTCATGTTAAATAAAAAATTTTAAAAGATTTTTTTTATGGGATCAATGTACTAACTAATCACATTAATAACAAAATAATCGTCAGTTTATGACTGAAATATAACGTCAAAATAATGTTATATTAAGACATCAATATAAAATCATGTAACAAATCAGTCGTTTTGACGACTTATGACCAAAAATGACCAGTTTGAAACGTCAAAATGACGTGTGCTTGCTATCTGCGAATCAATCAAGCTAATATGAAAATATGTATTATATATTTTTATATTAATTTGACTGATTTCCTCCTAAGTTGGTATAAAAGAATATAGAGATTTGTAGATTTTTATAAGAAAGAATTGAGAATTTTTTTCTATATAGAAAAAAATAAATCGCAATCGTTGATTGTTTTGATTAAAATTTTAATTATCATTCCAGTCATATATTGAATTATTAGTGTGTGTGTTTGTGTGTGTATGTGTGTATGTGTTTGTGTGTGTGCGTGCGTGTGTGGATTGAATTAAGTATTGATTTTAGTATTATAGATTTTAGTATTATAGATTTTAGTATTAACTATTTATTTAGTATTGAATTAAAAGTGAAAAATAAATAGTTAGGTATTTTTTATGATAATTTTTATATTAATCTAATCTTATTAAATTATTCAAAATTTTTTGTCCTTTAGTTGACCAGTGATTTTATCATACAAGTCGAAGGACAACCTATTTACGTTCACAAGGTTATTATTAATATTCGTTCCCAGCATTTCAGAAACATGTTTCACCATGATTGGGCTGAAGATGTTCAAAGGTAAACATTTAAAAAAGGAAACTGGTTTTTTTATTGAGAATTTTTCTTTGGTTATTATATAATGTTGCTTTTTGACAGTACATCGGATTCATTACCAGTATACACCATATCGGATAAATTTTCTTATGTCGTTTATAAAGCCTTCTTGAAATACTTGTATACCGGCACAATCGATTTACCTTTGGACAACGCATTAGGTAATTGGGGTTGTAAATATTAGAGTTATCATAAATTACAATTCAGAAACTGAAGCTATACTTCATTACAGAACTTATGGAATTGGCCGAGATGTATTGTGAAACTAATCTTAAAGAAGATTGTAGTCAGATAATAAAGCAAACCATTACTGTGTCAAATGTAGCATTCTTGTACAATAATGCGATCGAGTACAATGCTAAAGTAAGTGCTACAATTCGGAGTTAATCACTATTAATGTTGGAATTCATTAATTGCAATATTTATTTATGTGTACGATATATCGTTGAATATCATGTAAATTTTAGGAACTCAAGGAATTCTGCTTTCAATTTGCTTTGCGTCACATGATAGTTAACACGTTATCGGAAGATTATATTGAATTAGATATGAGTACTCAGGCTAAATTTATACATAGATCAGCGATACAAAATGATGTTACTATCACGTCGTCGACATTTTATTCCTCGAACAAAAATGTAGCGAAAAGAAATTTAGAAACAACAATTAAAAAAAAGTAAGTTCGACGGTTTTGTTTTTCACTTCCTTTTTATATTTTAATCGCTGCTGGACGATAGCGATGTAGAAATAATCGCAGATGTCAGCAACATAATAGATGAAGATAACAACTGTGCGATGACATGAAGTACAATTAATTTAAATCAAAGTGAATAAAGTAACTAAACTTAAAGTTATCAAATTATTTGTAGTGAGATGCAAAAATATGAGAAAAGAATCTTGCAATGCGTTCTAGCGGAAAAGATAATTCCAATAAATCTTAAATCTTGGCCGTTCTTTCATGTGCTAAAGCCGGAATTTATTCCACAAATTCACATGGTTATGGTATACAGTAAGATTTATCTATTTTCTTTTTTCATTGTACTATTTTTTTCATTATGTGATATTATTCCTTATGCCATAGCAATTTATGACATCACCTAACTGCAGTAATGGATTTATAATTGTGACGAAAGACAAGAATGTCTACAACTTCGATTACAAAGAGGAGCATTTAAAGTTTGGTGACCTACACACTGCTCTATATTTAAAAGAAATAAAAGAATTGTGTGGAAAAAATATAAAGACCTTTGCATGCAGCGGAAGTTTTATCCTAATACTTACAGAAGAAGGAGAGGTATGTCAGGGTTCATATACCTTGAATGAGTAAAATTGATATTATGAAGTTTTATATCATCGCTAAAGCATGAACTTTTCTTAGAGTGGAAGTGAAAATGAAAATTATTACATACGAGTATACACATGTGTGTGAAGTCATATTTAATAAAATATAAATGGATAAATTATGATTAAAAATATATATTAAATAAATAAATTGCTTTGATTAAAAGTACAAAAATACTTAGCCATAACATTTTTTTAACATGCAAATATTTTTAATATTAATGTGAAAGATTGTAATGATATAATTTTTATTTTCTTTATAAGAAAAATTACGAAAATAATTTTGAAAATATCTTTAATGTATGTAGAAAAGCAGAGATTGCAGCACCTAAGTTTTAATTCTTTACATTCAGTCTGGTTGTGAAAAAAATGAAAGCAATACAAATACGTACACTAAGTTTCATAATTTTTTAAAAATGTGAGAAAAAATTTAAATTCTCTTACATGTATCAAAATGGCCTATGAATTTATATAAATTTACCATGTGTGTTGAAAAGTACTTAGGATGAAATAATATAAAACTTTATCATGAATTTTTTGTCAAGTCTTTTCTAGTATTGCTTTCGTAATTAAATATCCTAAGTGTGATTCAGAAAATCAGATAAAAAAAATGTATTACAACTACGCTATTTTTGAAAGGTTTATTTCTGCAAAATCGCTGAAAAGGATCTTTTCCGTTCTTCTTTTACGATTCCTGACGTATCCACGTTTATTCGAATCGCCGGATTAAGCGACAAGCGTATCGTGGACATCGATTGCGGAGAGGATCATGGTCTCGCTCTGACTTGCGATGGAGAGGTAAGTGAAAGATTAAACTATCACAATGATAAGGATAATAATCATTCTTATAAACTAAACAATTGTTTGTAATTTAGGTGTATGCTTGGAACGAATATTGTTGCGAGCATTATGATTGGGAAGAAAGTGATTGGTAAGAAAATGATAGGGAAGAAAATGATAGTCAGGTTAGTAACGAAAACACAACCCATTTTAGTGTGCCGTGGCAGGTGAAACATGAATTGGAGAAAAAGAAAGTTGTCCACATCGCGTGTGGTTCAAATTTCAACATAGTTGTAACTGACGAAAATACAATATACGGTTGGGGCGATAACGGGACAGGTCAGATTGCAATCGACCAGGTGCTAGAATACCAATACCCATGCAAAATCTTAGGATGCACAATCTCGAATAAAATAGGTAATCCATATAGCATCTATGTCCAAAAGACGTTCTCAGGGCATCCTGAAGATGGCCAAAGATATCTTCCGGATTCTTTCTGAACATTGTTTGGATATGTATGCTATGTGGGAAATCTTTTGAAAATTTATGTCTGAGATTTGGTTTCCAAGAATATTACATTATCGAACATCTTCATGAGAGATTGACGTTTTAGTTAAGGTGGTCTGCGGAGAGAGGCATACGTTGGCGCTTACAAATAAAGGAGAAGTCTATGCCTGGGGCAATAACTATTATGGACAAGTAGGTGTAAATAACAACGGGAAACCCTCCAGTCCGACCGTGGTAACTTATGAATTATTGATAAAAAACTTTTTAATAATTGCTATGATGAGCGGAACGAGGAATACAATAATAAGGAAAGATATGATCGATAGGTGAACGTCCCTGAGATGGGAAAGATTTTGGATATCGCTGCTTATTGTGACTTAAGTGTTGCCGTCGGCTATGATAGAATTATCTACGTGTGGGGTTTCCTTGAGTGGGATTATCATACTCCTATTCCATTTCCCACAAAGTTTTCAACGATTCAAGACGCGTATGCGTACAGTCCGTTGAAACACATCCACAATTCATTTTCATTGATTCTGTTTACGAATAATTTCAAGTATGTTGAAGAAGTATTGAATATATTGGAGTCTTTAAGAACAATATTTGATGCTTCGGTATGTTTCATTATTATTCTTTATGCATTTCTTTTATTTTAGCATAAAACTTTATACGATACATATTTTAATTTTAATATGGTTGGCATAAAAGAATAAAGATTTATAAAAGATTTGTTGATTTTGTAAAAAAGAATTAGAGGACATTTTTTTTTATACCAGAAAAAATAAACTGCAATCGTTAATGATTGTTTTGATTAAAACTTCTGATCTCAATCCAGTCCTATATTGAATTATAATATTAAAGATGAAAAATATTTATCTAATATTATTATTTAATAATTTGCTCTTCAGTTGACGAGTGATCTTACCATACTAGTCAAAGGACGACCTATTTATGTTCACAAGGCTATCCTTAAGATTCGTTGTCAGTATTTTAAAAATATGTTTCAACATGGTTGGACTGAAAATAATCAAAGGTAAACATAGAAAAAATTATTTAGTATTTTTCAACTTTGATTTCATAATGACAAAAATGTTTTTTGACAGCATATCAGATTCAGTGTACACCGTATCGGATAAATTTTCTTACGTCGTTTATAAAGCCTTTTTGAAATATTTATATTTCGGCACAATTGATTTACCTTCGGAGAACGCATTTGGTAATTGAACTGTAAACGTAAATTATCACAAACATACAATTCAGAAATTGAAATGACATTTCATTATAGAACTTATGGAATTGGCCGACATGTATTGTGAAACCAATCTTGTAAAAGATTGCAGTCAGATAATAAAGAAAATCATCACTGTGTCAAATGTAGCCTTCTTCTACAATAAGGCGATCGAATGCAATGCTAAGGTAATTACTACAGTTCGGAGTTAATTTCTATTACTGTTGAAATTTATTAATTTTAATGTATTTATTTATGTGTGTACAAAATATCATTGAATATCATGTGAATTACAGGAACTCGAGGAATTCTGCTTCCACTTTGCTTTGCGTCACATGAAAGCTGTAGTACTATCGGAAGAGTATATTAAGTTAGACCTGAATACAAAAGATAATTTTATACGCAGAGCAGCTGTAGAAGATATTTTTAAAACATAATTTTTGTTAAATGCAAGTTTTGAGCCAAATTGTCAATTGTTTTTTTATTCCCATATATGTATCAATAATGCTATACATATCTAATAAAGTAAACCTTGTTCCAGTTACCATTCCATAGTTTAATGTTACATAAATATGTAATCTGTAATTTTATCCAATAATTTTATCTAATTTTGTATCGAATTTTTTATCTAATTTTATTTATCACTTGAGATATTTACAAAATTGATTCAATAATAAATTTCATACTATTCATAAGAAATTTTTTTCCTCTCACTAGTATGTTTTACCAAAAAGTGAATATATAAGGAAAAGAATTACTAAAATATATTCTCAAATACAATGCATTGAGATCATAAAAGACAGAGAAAAATAATATTAAATATTTCAATAATAAAATCATCTAGAATAGATATAATTTTATTTTTGTACATAATATAGATTCTATATGATACATGCAATATGTAGTTATAATTAAGCACTAGTAATTATAATGCTACAGAAATATCATAAGTCCATTTCAATTTTTGTCAGAGTCATCTAGTTCGCATATCTTTGATTTAAGGTAATTAATTTAATCAGATGGGGAGAGAGAAAATTCTTGCATGAGCAGGTAAAGTTGTCTAGTAATCGCAAGTAATCACAAGAGCTTAAAAGCTTCTTAAAAGATAAAGTATTGACGTTGTACAAGAAAAACATCAATTCGATGAACTATTAATGCTACATCGCGTGCCTAAAATGTTTAATTTGCATTCTTTTTCTTGTCCTATATGAGAAGAAATTAATGAATGCCGAGTGTCAATTATATAAATGAAAATTGAAAGATATATGATACTTTTTAATTTTTATTTGCAACATTTTTATTCTACATACACATATGTATGTAAAATCAAAATATAAGTAGAAAATTTAATTAAGAATATATATTAAATAAATAAATTACTTTGATTAGAAATACAGATATTTGGCCACAACATTTATTTCAACATGCAAATATTTTTAAAATTAAAACTATTTGTGAAAAATTATAGTAATTTTTAATTAATATAAATTTTATTTTCTTAATAAAAGAAAAAGTATGAAAAAAATTTGAAGATATCTCTGATGAACAAAGAAAAACAGAAATTACATCACATTATTTTCCTTATGTATTCCATCTGGTTTTGTGAAAAAATTTGTGACAGGAAAATAAAGACTTTCCTCGACGTCAACGCTCGACAGGACTTCTCGAGCGCTAATTACGAAAATTGTGTATTTGTCTTGTCCGTCAATTATTTGTTAAATTATTAATGTAATTAAAATTACAGAGAAGCGACTACGGCCGGGATATATGTCGATCCACCGAGAGAGAGAAGGGTCAGAGCCCCGAAGAGGGACACGTGATGGTTGACGCGTACACGTCAAAATACTATATTTATATTGATTTATATTAATTTATATTGATTTATATTGATTTACATTGATTTTTGAGCTTAAAGCATTTTGTCATATTTCATATATCATAAATGAATTATGATACCAAAGTCGAAGGTCGGGGTCAGTCTGAGCGTACAAAAACAAATACGACAAAAAGTAAATTGTCGCATCAAAAGTCGAATTATATTGACTCATATTTTCTTATTTGAGCACTGCTTCATTTATTTTGCACGCCTTTCCTCGGCTCCTCAACTGTAACCATCTTGCAATTTGTTTCATGCAGTTGTTTTTATTTGCGATAAAATTTTTTTGGAGAGTCACTAGACTCTTCAAAGCTGGCTGGCGCCCGATTAAATTATTTAATAAATATAAGTTTGAATAATACTCGTAACTCAGAGCCCTACCAGCCTACCAGCCTACGGACCCAGGCCGCGGTAAGTGAAGCCACTGGGGAAAAGGTGTTTTAGCTTTTTATTTCTACATATGCATCAATGAAGCTATACATATCGAATAAAGTAAACGTTGTTCCAGTTACCATTTCATAGTAAACATAATATTACGTAATATAAATATACAATATATAATTTTAACTAATTCTGTTTATCAATTAAAGTATTTACAAAATTGATTCAATTCTTAAATAATAAATTTGATAAAACGAAATAAAAATTTTTTTTATTTTTCTCACTAGTGTTTTTATCAAAAAGAGAAAAGGAGAAGAATCACTAAAAATATTAAAATCTATCGAGATTAAGAAATACAGGGAAAAATAATATTAAAAATTTCAATAAGAAGATCATTTACAGTACAGATAATTTTATATATATTGTTATATATAATATAGATCTTACCCAGATAACAAGCACACGTCATTTTGATGTTTCAAATTGGTCATTCATTTGACTATTCTTCCAGTCACGAGTTGACGTTTTTATGACATAAAAGCAGAGATGAGATACTTTTAATGTTAAAACAAAATAGAATTAAATAAAAAATTTACTTTGATAATATTTTTTATTAAAATATTAATAAAAAAATTTTTTATTTTAAATTTACAAAACCGTAAAATTTAAAGAGATATAGACTTTAAAGCACATAACATGTAACTTCACATGTAAATAAAAAAATTTTAATTTCCATTAAATTTATAAATACACCTAAATTTACATTCTTTTTGTGCTCTCGTCCGATATCACGTCAAACTTAAAAGCTGGCCAATTACGTCTATTCCTCAGAAGAATGGAATACTGTGATTGACCAATGATGTCATTAATCGCCATCAGAGGTGTCTGTGAAGCTGGCACGACAAATTTCAAAAAAATACTAAGAGTTCTAATAGCACATTCCACAGTTCTACAATTCCTGATAAAAATTAAAGAAAATTTCGCATCCCTTATATTAAAAATCGAAATCGAAAAAATATTGTGCTAACTTTGCGAATCTAGCTCGACACTTTTTCCTCTAAAGTACCAAAACGGATTGGATATTATTAATTTTAGCAAGAGTTCCCGATAGTTCTGCTATAATTCATGCAGCCAATGTATGCAATTTTAAATTGATATTCCAAAAATTAATAATTTTTTATGAATTTTTAATGTTCTTGACCAACATGACGTTTATTGAAAATGTATCGTGCTGATGATTTTCCCTAGTTTTAACGGCAGTTTTGGACAGTTCTATAAAAGTTGTTCCCTGTTGTATTCTTTAGAAACATTTTTACGCAGACCGTTTATTATTTTATAAATAATTATTTAAGAAATAGTAATCAGTCGGAACTCTGCGTAAAAAATGTTTCTAAAGAATAGAACTTTTATAGAACTGTCCTGAACGGTCGTTAAAACTATGGAAAATCATCAGCATGACACATTTTTACTAACAAAAGTGTCGTGCTGGTCAAGGACAAAAATTCTAAAAAAATTATTAATTATTGAAATATCGGTTTGAAATTGCATATATAAGCTGAACTATAGCAGAACTATCGGGAACATTTGCTCAAAATAATAATATTTAACGCGTTTTTGTAAATTAAAGGAAAGAGTGTCGTCCTAGATTCGTGAAATTAGCACATTTTTCCGATTTTTATTTTTTAATATTAGGAATGCGGAACGCTTTTTAATTTTTATCGGGAACTATGTATGAAAAGTGCTATCAGAACTCTTAATATTTTTTTGAAATTCGTAAATTGTCGTGCCATTTTCACAGACACCTCTCAGAGCAATAAATTTCATTCGAAGAATTATCGTATTTTATATAAATGTCGGTCGAAAATTGAATAAGACAGAAACACGATGTCGTAAGTATTTTCAAAATATGAAAAGTAACGGTAAAAGTAACTGTTAAATTTGTCATCGTTACTAAAAAAAAGTAACTATAACGGTAATGATGTTACAAGTAACGCGTTACTTCACAACCCTGCGTAAAAGTGACGGTCTAATGTCACAGATTCTTGACGTCATGACATGTATTGCATTTTGATGACATAAAATATACCATATTTTGACGTTTTTTTTCTTAGCATAATAATGTATTTAATAGCGTTGTCAAATAAAGCAGATTAACTGATTCGAGAGCATTATTGAACAATTATAACTATTCTATTCTTGAGAAGAAACTTGGATCGATTAAATTGCTTTATTCGAAAAAGCTGGAAAATGCAAATATGATAAGAAAATGAGTCACAAGATTCATATTTGTTATTATTATTATACTTAAACATAAATAAAAAAACTCACTTTTAATATCATATAAAATTTTAACAAATAATGTTTTTCGTTTTGTATATGTAATTAAGAAATTAAATTAGAGGATTTATTTCATATATAAATACTAACAGTAACATACACATATATATTACATATATTTTTTTCAGTTTAATGTGATAACAAATCACATGCGAAGTATACATATTTCTGCCCGCACGTTTCTCAAGTTAGACATCTCTCTGTTGATTCCTACATATATGTTTTTACATGTGCGCGTATTTTTATTCTTTATTCGTAGAAAAACATTTACTCGGGCGAAATTCTTCATCTTTAAGAAAAAGTAAGCGAAACTCGTCGATTATAAGTTTTTATACATTACCTTCGATTCTCGCATTTAAAGAAGAATAACATTTGTTGTACCACGTGGCATCCGATTGATCCCGTCGTCAATTGGATAATTCAAAATAGGTCTTTCTGATTGGTCAATAGTTGCTATTCTAAGCATAAACCGATATAATTGGCTATAGTCAATTACAACGTGGTCAAATGGGACGTTCCCATGTGGTTTCATTTAAGTTGCAACATTCGACCAAGAATGAACTGTGAAGAACACGTGGTGCAAAGGAGTTTTTCATACATTCTCAATTATTTTATCGTATGAGTGCGTTTCGACTTCGATCCTTCGGCGAAGAAAGTAATAAGTGCATTTCGAATGTGTTCTGTTTGAGAGAATAAGAAGAAGAAAAGGTATTTTCCAATTTCTGCCGACACAAAGTCGCGTTTATATCATGTCGAGTTCATCGAAAAAATTCTGTTCCCTGAAAGATATAGAGAAGAGAAATTCTGAACCAACAACTAACGAAAAAGAGTAAGTATAGTTTTGCTTTTCTCTACCTTTTCATACAAGTTATTGCTAGGCGATAACGATGTCGAAGTAATCGTAGATGCCGATCAGATAATAGCAAAAAAGAAAAAGCGTCCGATGACATAAAGTATAATTAATTCGGATCAAAGTGAATAAGCAAATAATTACACTGAAAGTTATCAAATATTTACAGAGAGATGCAAGAATATGAAAAGAGAATCTTGCAGTGCATTCTGGCGGAAAAGATAATTCCAACGGATCTTAAACATTGGTCATTCTTTCATTTCCTAAAGACGGAATTTATTCAACAAATTCACATGGTTATAGTTTGTAGTAAGGTTCATCTGTTTTTTTTTCTTTTTATTATTTAGTATGGTAAAATTTGTCTTTCTTCATTCATTGTCTTTTCTTGCTATGGAATATACACGGTGGGCCATTTTAATCGATGCACCTGAATATCTCCGTTGGTAAGCCGAATACAAAAAAATTGTTCAGACAAAAGTTGTATGGCTTCAAGGGGGACATAAGATGGTATCATTGGTTTTATCTTGAAAAGTTGTTTGAAGGTCACATGAAGGCCACCTTCAATTTTTTAAATGGAACTCCCTATTTTTTATTACTTATTCTTGTAGCTTATCTCGAGAGCTTTCCAAAACACTATAATAAAGTACCTTTTTATTAAGTACTTTTTGAGTTATAAGGCTTGAAATAATTTCTTAATTTTACATAAACCATAAAATATCTAGTAAACCATTCATTTTTCGATTATCTTACCTTCATACTTTTATGTACAAAATAATGAGAGGAATCAATTGGTGTAAAGAAAACACATAGTTGTTTCTAAGAAAAAATATGTAATTTGCAATTAACAATTCCATATTTTTTCTTAAAAACAACTATATGTTTTCTTTACACCAATTGATTCCTCTCATTATTTTGTACATAAAAATATGAAGGTAAGATAATCGAAAAATGAATGGTTTACTAGATATTTTATGGTTTATGTAAAATTAAGAAATTATTTCAAGCCTTATAACTCAAAAAGTACTTAATAAAAAGGTACTTTATTATAGTGTTTCGGAAGCTCTCGAGATAAGCTACAAGAATAAGTAATAAAAAATAGGGAGTTCCATTTAAAAAATTGAAGGTGGCCTTCATGTGACCTTCAAACAACTTTTCAAGATAAAACCAATGATACCATCTTATGTCCCCCTTCAAGCCATACAACTTTTGTCTGAACAATTTTTTTGTATTCGGCTTACCAACGGAGATATTCAGGTGCATCGATTAAAATGGCCCACCGTGTATATTGTTACTTACATCATAATATTTTGAAGATGAGTTTAATAGATGTAATATAATTATTACTTATGTCATGGCATTAAAACAGATAACGATAGTAAAGCTATAATTGTGACGAAGGACAAGAATGTCTATAACTTAGATAATGAAAAAAAGTATGTAAAGACTGGTAACGTACGTATTGCTTCTTATGCAAAAAAGATAAAAGAATTGTGTGGAAAAAACATTCAGACCTTTGCTCACAACCGGGATTTCGTCCTGGCACTTACAGAGGAGGGAGAGGTATATCAAGGAGTTCATATTATTTGAATGTGTCTTGATGCATATTTGAGTTTCTAGGATTAAATAAATTTTATAATAAATTGCTTAAAAGATAAGATTGATGTAGAATGAGGTTTTATAATCTTCCGAATTGTGAATTTTTTTTAGCAAACAAATAAAAATGAAAATTTATATATATACACGTTTGTGAAATCATAATAAAATATACTATGTAATAATAAGTATATAAATTAATTAAAATTTATATTAAATAAATAAATTGCTTTGATTAGAAGTACAGATATTTGGCCATAATACTTATTTCAACATACAAATATTTTTAAAATTAAGACTATGAGATGTGAAAGATTGTAATGATGTAACTTTTATTTTCTTAATAAAAAAAAAGGAAAAAGCTTTGAAAATATCTGCTGAACAAGAAAAAACAGAAATTGCAGCACATTATTAATTCTTTATATATTCAATCTGGTTTCGTAAAAATTAAAACAATATACATACACACATACATAGAATTGTAACTTAATTAATTTTTATAATATTTTAGAAACATGAGGAAACGTACAATTATTTTGTAATATCATAATGGCCAATAAGTTTGTAAAATTTATCCAACTGAAATGCACTTAACAATAAAATAATATAAAACTTCATCATTAATCTTTCTTTTTCTAGCAGTGTTTCTATCCTTAAATGATTAACATTATAAATATAAAATTAGAAATTAAAAGAATGAAAGGATTATTGAAAAAATGTAGTCGACCAAACTAGCCAGAAATTTAGTTTATTATTACGACGTTTCGACCATATGGTTGTGGTCCTTATCAAGTACATAGTTCAATCTCTTGACGATGTCTCTCACGGACACATCAATTTCTCTCTAATTTAAATCTTTTAATAAATAACGTTTTTTTTTTAATGTGATTTGTGCAATTTATAAGATCATCGTCTATGCCGGTCTCTTGATTTATGGCTTCGTATGTACTTGATAAGGACCACAACCATATGGTCGAAACGTCGTAATAATAAACTAAATTTCTGGCTAGTTTGGTCGACTACATTTTTTCAATAATCCTTTGATTATTCGACTAGCGATATTAAGATATTTATTAAATTTAAAAGAATGAAATCAAGAGGTACATTTTACAACTATGTTATTTTTAAAAGCTTTATATCTACAAATTCACGAAAAAAAAAAGACGCGGTTCGTATTTGGAGCAATCCGACGTACCCACGTTTACTCGAATTACCGGCTTAAAGGACAAGCGTATCGTGGACATTGCATGCGGCAGTTATCATTTTCTCGCTCTGACTAGCTCTGGAAAGGTAAGCAAAAAATTAAACTGTCATAATGATAATGATATTAATCATTCTCTCATTCAGCTAAACAATTGTTTGTAATTTAGGTGTATGCTTGGGAAGACGTTATTTATATGCAGCAAGGTAATGAAAACACAGCTATTTTTGATGGTAGTGTGAGACAAATAAAACATGGATTGGAGAAGAAGAATGTTGTTTATATCGCGTGTGGTCATAAATTCAATATGGTTATAACTGACGAAAACAAGCTATACGGTTGGGGCAAAAACGATAAATTCCGGATTTCACCGGATTTCTACCGGACGCAAGAAGAATATTACACGAAATATCCACACGAAATTACCACATTCTCGGATAAAATAGGTAAATTTTTTAAATTTTATGTCTGAGATTTGGTCTCTAAGAATATCACAGTATCGGACATCTTCATGGGAGATTGATGTTTTAGTTAAGATGGTCTGTGGATTCTCTCATATGTTGGCGCTCACAGATAAAGGAAAAATCTATGGCTGGGGCAGTAAGGAACAAGTGGGCATAAACAACTACTTCGAATCCTCCGGTTCAATCGTGGTAATTCATGAACGAAAATTAAAAAACTTTAATAATCGCCATGCGCCGGAATGAGAAATAATACAATTAAGAATGGTACAATCAGCAGTTGAACGTGCCTCAAATGGGGAAGGTTTTGAATATTGATGCCTATGGTAATATGAGTGTTGCCGTTGGTTATGACAGGACCATCTATGTATGGGGATGGTACTTCTGCCAAGATATTACCCAACCTCGTCCCACGAAGTTTTCAAGAATTTTTGATGTATTTATGCACAGTGCATGGAGTCTGAATAAGCCATTGATTATGCATGATTCTTTACACACTGTGCGAATTACGAATAATTACAATTACAAGTATACTGAAGTATTAAGTATATTTGAATCCTTAAAAGCAGCATTTGATGATCCGGTATGTTTCATATTATTGCTTTGTGTGTACTTTTTTGCATTATATATATTAACATTAAGTAGATATAATACATAATTTTATATTAGCTTGGTTGATTGATATAAAAAATATAGGGATTTGTAAGAGATTTGTAGATTTTTGTAAGAAAGAATTGGAAAATTTTTTTCTATATAAAAAAAATAAGTTGCAATTGTTAATGATTGTTTTGATTAGGATTTCAGGTCTCATTCATATATTTAATTAAAAGTGTGTGTGTGTGTTGAATTAAGTATTACATAATTAGTATTACATATTGAATTAAAAGTGCAAAGTAAAAAGTTATGTATTTTTTATGATAATTTTTATATTAATCTAATATTATTAAATTATTCAATAATTTTTATCCTTTAGTTGACGAGCGATCTTACCGTACAAGTCGATGGACGACCTATTTATGTTCACAAGACTATCCTTAAGATTCGTTGTCAATATTTTAGAAACATGTTTCAACATAATTGGATTGAAAATATTCAGAGGTAAACTTTGAAAAAAAAAAAACTGATATTCTTACTCAGAATTTCTCAATTTTGGTTACGTAATGACAAACATTGCTTTTTGACAGCATATCAGTGTACACCGTATCGGATAAATTTTCCTACGTCATTTATAAAGCTTTCTTGAAATATTTATATACCGGTATAATCGATTTACCTGCGGAGAACGTATTAGGTAATTGAATCTAAACGTAAATTATCACAAATTTACAATTCAGAAACTGAAACGACACTTTCTTACAGAACTTATGGAATTGGCCGACATGTATTGTGAAACCAATCTTAAAGAAGATTGCAATCAGATAATAAAGCAAACCATCACTGTGTCAAATGTAGCATTCTTTTACAATAAAGCGATCGAATACAATGCTAAGGTAAATACTACAATTCAGATTTAATGCTATTAATGTTGGAATTTATTAATTGCAATGTATTTATTTATGTGTACAATATATTGTTTAATATCATGTGAATTTTAGGAACTCGAGGAGTTCTGCCTTCAGTTTGCTTTCCGTCACATGACATTGTCGAAAGATTATAATAAATTAGATATGAGCATTCTGGCTAAGTGTACACAGAGAGCAGCGATAGACAATGACGCTATTATCACATCGTCGACATTTTGTTCCTTGAATAAAAATGTAAAGAACAGAAATTTAGAAACATCAACTAAAAAATAGTAGGTTTGGCCGTCTTTTCTCTTTCTTCCTATATAAGTCGCTGCTGCGCGCATAGTAATGTTGAAATAATCGCAGATAATAGGATAATAAGTAAAAAAAAAAGAATCGTACGATGACATAAAATACAATTAATTCAAAATAATATGAATGAGCAGGTAATTAAACTTAAAGTTACCAATTATTTGTAGTGAGATGCTAAAATGTGAGAAGAGAATCTTGCAATGCCTTCTAGCGGAAAAGTTAACGTCAATGGATCTTAAAAGATGGCCGTTCTTTCATCTTCTAAAGTCTGAATTTATCTCAGAAATTCACATGATTATGCGATATAGTAATATTTACTATTTTTTATTATATTTTCTTTTTTAAATTTAATATTGTTACTTATATATTTTTATATATATTATATATTATAATACTTTGAAGATTTCCATGGTACTAGAGCTATAATTGTGACAAAGGACAAGAATGTTTATAACTTCGATCATAAAACGAAGTATTTAAAGACTGGTCGCTCATATATTGCTTACTATTTAAATGAAATAAAAGAATTGTGTGGAAAAAACATAAAGACCTTTGCACAGAGATATAGTTTTATCCTGGCACTTACAGAAGAGGGAGAGGTATGTCAGAATTCATATTCCTTGAATGAATAAAATTGATATTAGGAGGTTTTATATCATTCCTAAAATGAATCCTTTTCTTAAGGTACAAGTGAAAATAAAAATTATTACATATACACATGTATATGAAATCATAATAAAATATAAGTAGATAAATTATAATTAGATATATATTAAATAAAGAATATATATTAAATAAGTAAATTGCTTTGATTAGAAGAATAAATATTTAGCCATAATATTTTTTTCAACATGTAAATTTATTTTTTCATGTAAAGTTATTTTTAATATTAATTTGCGAAAAATTGTAATAATGTAATTTTTATTTTCTTAGTAAGAAAAATTACGAAAATAATTGTAAAAATATCTCTAATGGATGTAGAAAAGCAGATATTGCAGCATCTAATTTTCAATTCTTTACATTCAATCTGGTTGTAAAAATAAAAGTATTACATATACACACACTTAGTTTCGTAATATTTTAAAAGTGGGAGAAAACTTTGAATTCTTTTACATGTATCAACATGTTCAATGAATTTATATAAATTTATCATGTTGAATAGTACTTAGGATGGAACAATATCAAACTTTATCATGAATTTTTTGCCAAGTCTTTTCAAGTAGTGCTTTCATACTTAAATATTCTAAATGTGATTCAGTAAATCAGATAAAAAATAATTACAACTATGCTATTTTTGAAAGGTTTATTTCAGCGAAATCGCGAATAAATGTTCCAATAGTAAGACTTCTGACGTATTCACGTTTATACGAGTCGTCGACTTAAGCGACAAGCATATCGTGGACATTGGATGCGGACAGGATCATGATCTCGCTCTGACTAGTGATGGAAAGGTAAATAAGAAATTAAACTATCACAATGATAAGGATAATCATCATTCTCATAAACTAAACAATTGTTTGTTATTTAGGTGTATGAATGGGGGAAAAAGAATTGGGAAGAAGAATATTCGAAACAAAGATATTTCGATGATAGTGATTGGAAAGAAAATTATGATTCGGAAGAAAATAATAGTCAGGATGATAATAAAAACGCAGCTTATTTTAGTGTGCCATGGCAGGTGAAACATGAATTGGAGAAAAAGAAAGTTGTCCTTATTGTGTGTGGTTTAACTTTTAACATAGTTGTAACTGATGAAAATAGAATATACGGTTGGGGCGATAACAAGCGCGGCCAGATTTCAATCGTCCGGCAGCAAAAATATTACAAACGCCCACGCGAAATTATCAAAATCTCGGATAAAATAGGTAAATTTTTTTTAAATTTATGTGTGACATTTTATCTCTAAGAATGTTACATTATCAAATATCTTCATGGGAGATTGATGTTTCAGTTAAGATAGTCTGTGGACGCGCTCATGTGTTGGCGCTCACAAATAAAGGAGAAGTCTATGCCTGGGGCGATAACAGACGTGGACAAGTGAGAGTAAATAAGAACAGGATTTCCGGTCCGACCGTGGTAAGTCATGAATTATTAATAAAAAACTTTTTAGTAATTGCTATGATGAATGGAATGATGAACAGAATAATAAGGAAAGATATGATCGACAGGTGAATGTCCCCGAGATGGGAAAGGTTTTGGATATCGCTGCTTGTGATGACTACAGCGTTGCCGTTGGCTATGATAAAATTATCTATCTATGGGGTTCATATTATTGGAATAAAATTACTATCCCGTTTCCTACCAAGTTTTCGAATATTCATGACGTGTTTGCGCACAATATATGCTCGCACTATTTAATTGTGTTAACGAATAATTTCAAGTATGTTAAAGAAGTATTGAATATATTGGAGTCTCTAAAAGCAATATTTGATGATCCGGTATGTTTCGTTATTATTCTTTTATTTTAGCATAAAACTATATGTGATACATATTTACATTTTAATTTGGTTGTTATGGGGAATAGAGATTTATAAGAGATTTGTAGATTTTGTAAAAAAGAATTAGGGAAACTTTTTTTTTTATACTAAGAAAAATAAATGGCAATTGTTAATGATTGTTTTGATTAAAACTTCTGGTTTCAATTCAGTCCTATATTGAATTATAATATTAAAAGTAAAAATTTAACTTTTTATGATAACTTTTATTATTAATTATTATTAATCTAATATTATTATTTAATAATTTGTTCTTCAGTTGACGAGTGATCTTACCATACGAGTCGAAGAACGATCTATTTATGTTCACAAGGCTATCCTTAAGATTCGTTGTCAGTATTTTAAAAACATGTTTCAACATAATGGGACTAAAAATATTCAAAGGTAAACTTAGAAAAGAATTATTTAGAATTCCTCAACTTTGATTACATAACAAAAAACATTGTTTTTTGACAGAATATCAGATTCGGTGTACACGGTAACAGAGAAATTTTCTTATGTCGTTTATAAAGCCTTCTTGAAATATTTATATATCGGCAAAATCGATTTACCTGCAGAGAACGTATTAGGTAACTGAATCTAAACCTAAATTATCACAAATTTACAATTCAGAAACTGAAACGACTTTATTACAGAACTTATGGAATTGGCCGACATGTATTGTGAAGCCAATCTTCTAAAAGATTGCAGTCAGAAAATAAAGGAAGTCATTACTGTGTCAAATGTAGCCTTCTTCTACAATAAGGCGATCGAATACAATATTAAGGTAAGTATCACAATTTGGAGTTAATTACTATTAGTGTTGGAATTTATTAATTGCAATGTATTTATTTATGCATGTACAATATATCATCGAATATCATGTGAATTACAGGAACTCGAGGAATTCTGCTTCCTGTTTGCTTTGCGTCACATGGAAGCTGTAATACTATCGGATGAGTTTATTAAGTTAGACACGAGTACAAAGGATAACTTAATACGCGTAGCAGCTAAAAGAAATATGTTCGGTATATGATTCTTTTGACAAAAGTTTCGATTTAAATTGCACATTGTTTTTTTATTTGTATACATGAATCAATGAAGCTATACATGTCCAATAAACCTTGTTCTTGTTTCGATTCCATTTTTTCCCAGTTTAACGTAATATTGCGTAATATATAATTTCCATAGTTTAACGTAATATTGCGTAATATATAATTTTATCTATCAATTTTATTTATCAATTGAGATATACATGTAAAATACAAAATTGATTCAATTCTTTAATAATAAATTTGATAAAAAGAAATAAGAAATTATATTTTTCTCATAAAAAGTTTTTTATCTTTCACTTGTGTTTTTTATCAAATAGTGAAAAGTAGGAGAATCACTAAAAAGATTAAAATCCATCGAGATTATAAAAGACAGGAAAAAATAATATTAAAAATTTCAATAAGAAAAAGTTTCCAACCTTTTAAAAGTGACGGTCTAATGTCACAGATTTTTGATGTCATAACATGTATCGCATTTTGATGCCATAAAATGCATATTTTAACGTTTTTTCTTAACATAATAATGTATTTAATAGAGTTGTCGAATAAAGCAGATTAACTGATTCGAGAGTCTCATTGAACAATTATAGCCATTCTATTCTTTAGAAGAATCTTTGATCGCTTAAACTGTTTCATTCGCAAAAGCTGAAAAATGCAAATATGGTAAGAAAAAAATGAGTCACAAGTTTTATATTTATTATTATTATTTTACTTAAACAGAAAAAAAAAACTCACTTCTAATATCATATAAAATTTTTAAGATATAATGATTTTTGTTGTCTGCGTTTTGTAAAAATATATGCCAATTAACTAGTAGGAAAAAAATGTGTATATTTTTTGGCACTTTAATTACACTCAATTGATATAACTAATATTTTTACTGTGCACTAATTTAACGAACACTTGAATGGTTAAGCAACATAAATCGTGCACGGATAAACGCATGCGTCGAAAACAAGATTGTTAAAGTGATCGCGAAAGTCATGTTATATAAAAAATTTTGAAAATTTTGAAAGATTGATGTACTAACGAATCACATTAATAATAAAATAATCATCAGTTCATGAGATATGACGTCAAAATAATGTTATAACGTGTCAGAACGTCAATATAAAGTCATGTAATAATCAGTCATTTTGCCGACATATGATTAAAAATTATCAGTTTGGCATATCAAAATGACGTATGCTTGCTACCTGAGTATATATATATATATATATATATATATATATATATATATACAATATAATGTTATAACGTGTCAGAACATCAATATAAATCATGTAATAATCAGTCATTTTGCCGACATATGATTAAAAATTATCAGTTTGGCACATCAAAATGACGTGTGCTACCTGAGTATATATACATACAATATTTAATTATAAATATGTAATTAAGAATTTGATTAGTTGTAATAAAAAGACGGAATTATAGATTCATTCTAGTTCTTGTCAGTGTCACTCTAGTTATCATATTTTTCATTTAAAGCAATTCATTAAATCGGATGACGACAAAGAAAATTTTCGAATGAGTAGGCAAAATTATATAGGATGTAAATAAATTGTAAATAACCGTGATAAAACTTGAATATTCTTATCTTGGTTATAAACTTTATATACTTAAATCTCTGTCAATTTATATATGTAATTAAGAAAATAAATTACAGGATTTAATTCATATATAAATACTAACAGTAACGTATATATATTATATATACTTTTTCAGTTCAATGTGGCAACAAATCACATGCAAAGTACGCACGTTTCTCAAGTAGGAATAATATCTCTCTTGATTCCTGCATATATAATTTTACATGTGCGCATATTTTTATTCGTTACTCGTAGAAAAATATTCACTTGGGCGAAATGCTTCATCTTTACGAAGAAGTAAGCGAAATTCGCCGTTTAAAAGTTTTTATACATTATATTATAAGTTTTTTATATATTACTTTCCATTCTTGCATTTAAAGAAGAATAGCATTTTTTGTATCACGTGGGAATGGGACCCGATTGATCCCGTCGTCAATTGGATATTTCAAAATAGGCCTTTCTGATTGGTCAATAGTTGCTACCTTATGCACAGGTCGATATAATTGGCTGTAGTCAATCACAACGTAGTCAAACGGAGCGTACTTACCACGTGGTTGCATCGTGGATTCATTCAAGTTGCAACATTCGACAAAGGAGGAACTGTGAAGAACACGTGGTGCAGAAGAGCAGTTTTTCATTCTCCTTTATTTTTATTATCGTATGACTGCGTTTTGACTTGATTTTTCGGCGAAGAAAGTAATAAGTGCATTTCGAATGTGTTCTGCAGAGGAGTAGTTTTTCATTCTCAATTATTTTTATTATCGTATGACTGCGTTTCGACTTGATTTTTCGGCGAAGAAAGTAATAAGTGCATTTCGAATGTGTTCTGAGAGTATTTGAGAGAATAGGAACTGTGAAGAACACGTGGTGCAGAGGAGTAGTTTTTCATTCTCAATTATTTTTATTATCGTATGAGTGCGTTTCGACTTGATTTTTCGGCGAAGAAAGTAATAAGTGCATTTTGAATGTGTTCTGAGAGTGTTTGAGAGAATAAGATGAAGAAAATGCATTTTTTTTCAACTCCTATCGACACAAAGTCGCGTTTCTATCATGTCGATTTCATCGAGAAAATTCTGTTGCCGAAAGATATAAAGAAGAGAAATTCCGAAACAACTAACGAAAAAAAGTAAGTAAAGCTTTGCTTTTCTCTTCCTTTTCATGCACGTTATTGCTAAGCGATAACGATGTCGAAATATTCGCAGATGTCGGCAAAATAATAGGGAAAAACAAAAAGCGTCCGATAACATTAAGTATAATTAATTCAAATCAAAGTAAATAAGCAATTAAACTAAAAGTTATCAATCATTTATAGAGAAATGCGGAAATATGAGAAGAAAATCTTGCAATGCGCTTTAAGGGAAAAAATAATTCCAATGGATCTTAAACATTGGCCGTGCTTTCATCTGCTAAAGCCGGAATTGATCTCACAAATTCACATGCTTACAGTATATGGTAAATTTACCATTTTTCATTATATTGTCTTTTTCGCTATGTAATATTGTTACGTATTTATTTTTATATCATAAATCATAATATTTTGAAGATGACTGTGGTCATGGAGCTATAATTGTGACGAGGGACAAGAATGTGTACAGTCTAAGTTATAGTGAATATGATAGTTCGGAGACTACTAACAGACATATTTCTCCCGACTTAAAGAAGATAGAAGAATTGTGTGGAAAAAACATAAAGACTTTTGCTTGCGGCTTGTATTTCATCCTGACTCTTACAGGAGAGGGAGAGGTATATCAAAGAATTCATATTTTTTGAAAGTGTCTTGATGGCATATTTTTGGGAATAAATTTTAACTTGCTCGAAAAATAAGATTGATATTGAATGAAGTTTTATAAGTTTCTGAATTGCGAACGTTTCTTCGGGAACAAGTGGAAATGAAAATTTACACATATATACATGTGTGTGTAATTATAATAAAATATACTATATAAAAATAGGAAGATAAATTAATTAAAATTTACATTAAGTAAATAAATTGCTTTGATTAGAAGTAATAGATATTTGGCCATAACAGTTATTTCAGCATAGAAATATTTTTAAAATTAAGATATTTAAAATTATATCATGGTATGTGAAAGATTGTAATGATGAAACTTTTATTTTCTTAATTACTCTCTAAAAGTGAATCAGTGTATTATCACTGAAAAACAGTAAATAGTCCCTGATTACAGCAGTTATAAGTACAGCACTGTAAATCAATAATATTTTATTGAAAGAATCAGTTAATAATTTTGACTATTTCAATCAATAATATTTCTCAATATTTCTTTTGTTATTGTCAGTAATATTTAACTATAATTCATCTCTCTATCTATTTCATATAAAATTAAAAATTTTATTTATATTTACTAAATATTTATTATATTAAAAATTTTATTTTATTTATATTACATGCATATTGAACTTGTTATTTTAAATAGATAACGAACAAATAATTTTCATTAAGTCGCCAGACATTTATTTGTCCGACTTATAAAGATCGATTTAATATCTGAAGCCTCTCTATTGAGCTTGTATCAGAAATTAAATCGAAGTAATACTTCTAATTTTAAGTGTTGCTCTTTGCAAACTTTATATAATTCTTATAACTAAAATTAAATACGAGAGAGATAGCGATTGTAGCGGTAAATGAACGAACTAGCGATTACTGGTTTTACAGTAAAATTTACTGTTTTTACATTGAATTTTATTTTAACTGACCATAATCAAATATAAGATATAAGATAAAATAACAAAAAAATAAGCGTTTCCACTGAAGATCAGTAAAATACTCACTGATTCTCAGTGAAATCTTATTTTACTGTTTAAATTAGTGATATTTTCACTGATTCACTTTTAGAGAGTAGAGAAAAAAATATGATAATAAAAATTTGAAAATATTTTATTAACAAAGAACTTATTTGGTCAGCGAGCGACCTTGCAGAGATCCTCCATGGCAATCGGCATAGCATCCATCGAGTGAGATACCACTCTGGAGTCGCATATCACTGTGTTAAAAAGCAGCACTAGGTGTGAGGTCCGGATAGCTCAATGGTCTAGAGCAGTTGCCCGGAGAGCGAAAGAGTCGGATTCGATTTCCGATCTAGCTATTTGCACCTCATATATTTTTCTAGTCCGCGAATATTGTTTTTTAGCAATTATTCGTTGGGCTGAAAAATATGTGAATGCTCTCTCCACAGGATACGCGTCGATGCCGTTGCCACTCTCTAAAAGTGAATCAGTGTATTATCACTGAAAAACAGTAAATATTCACTGATTACAAGCAGTTATAAGTACAGCACTGATTACAGTGATAATACACTGATTCACTTTTAGAGAGTACGCAAGGATTCTGTCGCTCGTTGATCAAATGGCCATGTAGACACGTCCGACATACATCCCTATTTTTTTTGGATGTAACATGTACATTCAGACAATAACAATGTAACATTCTAAATATAAAATAAGATTCAAAGAATTAAAAAATGCATACAACTATACTATTTTTAGA